TTATTTTCTATTTTATGGTATGTTGTGGTCTGTCTGGTTGATATATAAACCGAGTATATTTGAAATAAATGATTCATATCACAGAGGCTGAGACTTGTGTTCTGGACTTATTTGGCTGGGCTAGGCGGAAAGCAGGGCTAATCAGAACTCTAGACTGCTCGCACCTGTTTACGCGTCTTTGATCCAAACGATAAGTCACTGCTCTTTAATCGGTGGTCACAAGTTATAACAAAAGTTTACTTTCTTTATGATATAACCGGAAACAAAACATATTAAGCGACAGTAGAATTAGTTTATATCATGACTTACTGAAGAAAGTTAACAGTGAACTCTTGACTTTATTGGTGAAGTTTATCTCAGAGAACAAAAACCTGTTGGGATAAAGTTCTTTATGACTGATTACAATCACATACCAGTAACGAATACAATCTATCTATGATATCGAATCATCTGCATGGTAGACAGCTAACAAGGGGTAAGAAAAAAACTTAAAATTCCGTTTGATTGCTCATTCTCTGATGAATCCGTCGGTGTATTTTACTTAACTATTAATCAAGCATATTTCACAGAAATTTTAGTCTTATTTGGAATCTCTCTCCCAATTCATAAACTATTGTGATGTATTATAAGCAAAGATGGATAGTGGCTAGCAGTGGAATCCAGGACGCGCGTTTCGTCCTGTTTGGGACTCGTCAGCTGGATGTACCTGCATCTCAGAGTTGATGTTCACTCTGGGACTCGAACTCAGTACCGTTCGCTTCAAACGCCATCGCGTTATCCACTTACCTACTGAGTCCGGATAGCCACTTGCTTGTGGCTATCCGGACTCAGTAGGTAAGTGGATAACGCGATGGCGTTTGAAGCGAACGGTACTGAGTTCGAGTCCCAGAGTGAACATCAACTGTCAGATGCAGGTACATCCAGCTGACGAGTCCCAAACAGGACGAAACGCGCGTCCTGGATTCCACTGCTAGCCACTATCCATCTTTGCTTATAATGCTTGTAAATTAAGGCAATATCGAGGCATACGCACAGTATGCACATATGCCAATAAGAGACTGATCAATTTCAGTCCAAAAACATCAATGGGAAGATTCAAATAAAACAATATTGTGATGTATGTTACAATTTAGCTACGAGTATGTTACTCAGGTTTTCGTCTAATTTACGTATACATTGTGATGGCTTCTGTACTAGTTTTCTACACGATTTATTAGTCCCAATAATAAAAGTACTCATTCCCACTCATTCATTCTATTATCTGTTTGTTATGACTGTGAAAAATAAATGCTGACTAAGGGATAGCGAATTATTGATCGGACCAAAGACGCTCAAACACCTAGAACGACCTAGGGTTCTGATTGGTCTCGCTTCCCTGTCTAGCCCAGTCAGTTGAGTCCAGAACACAAGTCACAGCCTCGGATATATGAATCATTATATTTCAAACATACTTTGTTTATATACCAGTCAAGCAGACCACAACGTACCATAAAATAGAAAATAACATTTGTACAATAATGGCCAGTAGGAAAATGACACGTTAAATAAATATTGACCAATAAGATGATACCATTTCATGTCCAAGGATAGCATTAGCCTTAACAGGATAATTTTTGGGATATTTTCCTGAATATCCCAACACTGTTTAAATGAATCTGATGAGGGATTTATTGTTAGTTCGACAGAATATCATCAACATTGAGATTTTACAATATAGCACTTAATTACTATCAAAAAATTAACTCTTCAAGTATTCAATACAAAGCTACTAGGTCTTCCTAAGGTATCATAAATCATTCATGACATTCAACAATGTTATTAATCCTGCCTTTAAAATAAAAACTGGAATAAATGGCTAGAAAATATTGAGGTAAGAATACATGTTTTACAACTGATGGTTAGTTATAAACGATGAGATTGCATGATATTAATTTAATTCACTTTGGAGTAATACAACACATTAAAAATAAAGACATATTGCTGGTATATCCATACATCGCGCAATAAACCAGATGTCATGAATCTGCTATCATGGCTGATTGTAAAGTACCGAATTATTGCAGTAATTATGATTAGAACAAGCAAACAAATAGCTTATGTACCAATCTATCTATGCTGAGTAATCGAAAATCCACATTGAACATCATATTTTTGGTAGAGTTTAAAAAACCAAATCACTATAAGAATGAGGAAAACAAGAAAGCCACGCTATCAGTGAAGACTTATTAGTTGTATGCAATAATATAATAATGGTCTGAAGAGGTTACGAACTTTATCGATGCGACCGATTATCTTTAACAATATGTATGCAATTAATCAACTATGGATCGTTACAGAAAGGTACGTGTAGGATGATTAAAAATACATATTGCATGGAAAAATGAGAGATGACGTTAGTTGCTAACTGTGACTGCCAACCTTTGGTTGCTATTAGGATTCATATAGTAACATGTGCAGATGTTTATTTGTTGATTCATGTTGTCATGAGGTTTGAATAATTCTACTGGGCTATTAATTCCGTTTATTGGACAAACTAACGTAGTACAATTCTACAAGGTTACTACAGTTTATAATGTGATTAATTAAACTCAACAACCGAGCAAAGAATTATGTCATAGCTATTAAGTTACACTTTTCGTATTAGGGTTAGTCATACTAACCCGATTCTGAAATTGAAGAAAAGTCCAAACCGGAGGATTAACAATTGAAAGTCGATCGCTTTAACCATTAAGTAACTGTTCCATAAAGAAATACAATATTGAGTTTTACGTAGAAGATATTGTTCATGAAATACAAAGCTCATACAGTAAAAAGACTGAAATAAACACGTGCGTTGTATCCGTTGTTTAGCATTCATCAAAGAAAAAGATAACTGTCGCCAAGATAATCAGCGTGCCTACGTTATAATGTCTTTAGTATCTAAACGCTCAGTTTCCTGATGAAATTTCTCCATATTTGGTTTTCTCAAAAACAGTAATCGGTATATTTAATATATATAAGCATAGATTATACTAATCAAATTACAGGTTTCTAGAAGTTATTACAAATTCAAATAACTTATACACCATAAAATGAAATGTTTGAGTTAAGAGAAAAATTAAAATATTGGTTCTTTTCAAGAAACCAAAACAGGTCAGAATTAACTCTAAATCAGTAGACTGAATTGTCCATTTTAAACTTCTAGTTCGAGGGAAAATGAAGAAAGGTGAGAAAATCGGTATCTGTGCATTATGTATATGTAAAGCTTTTATATTATAGTTCACTTAGTAAGTTGCAAATCAGAACAGATATAAAATATGAATATTACAGTTAGATTGTAAGCTGAACTTAGCTATATATATATATATATATATATATATATATATATATATATATGGGGACTTTGTTTTATTGGCAAACTGCAAAAAATTGTTCACAACCTCTATAAATCGGGATAAAAATTGCAAATGAAAAGTAAATAGACTACTAATAACTGACAAACACACATTCTTTTGACCGATAAACGTACAAAACGAAAATGAAAAAAGAATTAAACAAAAAAAACAGATTGAAAAGGGAGAAAACAAAAAGCAAATCAAAGATTATTAGGAAATATAATTGAATAATAAGTAAAGAAAACAATAAGACAAGTATTTCAATTGTTCAGACAATAAAAGCATCATCATCATCAACATCATATACACATGTGTCTATTAGTTTTACAAATAAATAAACTTAAAAGTATGTATAACTCAATGACTTGATTTTTTTTTTGGACAACTCGTAGTTGGTACACATACAACATGCAATTCATAGAACAAAATGAAAATGCATTTATGTTAGAAATGAATCATCCACATTAGAACACCGGTAGAAAAATGAAAATCAAAGTGAGTTACAAAATTGAAAAGCAGAGAAAACAATCATAAAGACAGCCAAAAATAAATCATAGAAATCTGAGATAACTGATCTTATGTTTTTATGGTTTCAATGTTCTTTTTTCCGATTTTTTTTGTTTTGTTTATCTTAACATGAAATTAACGGTAATCAGGGTATAGAAGAAAGAAAACGTAACTGTACACTTGTTTCGACTGAGCATCGCGCCGTAGATTTACCAGTTACTGTATCAGTAAATCATAAGGAAAGTAAGATTTAACAAATATATTCAGATTTGGTCACGTTCTAATTCTAGATCATCATGGTAAGATGAAACTATGGAGAGAAATATGAAGAGTACACCAAAGTAGTAGGAGTATTCACAGAATCGATAGCAACAAAAAATATATAAAGCAAGAAGAAAATGAGTCCAAGAGATAGAATAGATATGTGGAATAAAGTTTGGAATAATTTCGCAGTTGTTTTTTTTAAAAAAAACAAACAAGAATGTGTCTATGAGTGATTGATTCTGAACCATTTGTAACTTTATACGGGAAAAAGGAAGACGAGGGGGGGGGGAAGAAAAGTTTACACTAAATGCATATTAATGGTATACGAGTGAAGAGAAGAACCGAGAATGGAAAAACACACTATCTTAGTTGAAATTCCTTGTTAATAAAAAGAAGGCAATGAATAATGCTTTAGAATGATAATGACAGTAAACAAAGAATTTAATTCACACGAACAGACATAAACTACATAGCTGAGATGAGATTACACTCTTAGTATGCATTATATGTATAAAGTCAGTAAACAATAAGTAATATTGGATTCTGTACAAAGGTACATCAACCAAAGTTTCCAAATAGTACACAGTAAAAGAGGGAATCGACAAGAAGAAGAGAAAATTTATAATAGTAGTATCAGTGACAGTAAGGAATAGATTATAACTAGAGTGCATGATTCGAGAAGGAATGAATTTGTAGCATAAAAATAAGAAGCAATAATCAAACTATACAGCATATTGTCATGTATCAGTTGATCTGTTAATGTGATCGGATAATGTATTGCATAATGTTGTAGTAGTAGTAATAGTACTGGTATTATTGAAAGCATTTCTTCTTGGTGGTAATGGTGGTGCTGTTTCAACAATACTACACTCAGTGGTGGTGGTAGTAGTAGTATCTGGAGTGAATGTGACTGATTGAAAAAAATTCGAATGATTAGGAGAAGACTCTTCGGGAGATCGACTGTGGGTGACAGGAGCAGTTGTTGTTGTTGCTGCAGTCGAACGAATAGAGTAGTTTAATTTTGGAGGTAGAGGGGGTGGAGGTGGTGGTAAACACTTACAATTTTCCATAGTTGAAAAGAAAGCACAGGAAGTATTCGATGAATGAAGAGAAGATGGTGGAGTAGGTATTCTGTGCAGAGTTGTACCAGTGGAATTTGGAGCTTTCGAATGTTTCCAACAATTACAACTTTGACGGCTTTGTCTAGGCGGTAATGGTGGAGGTGGTGGTTGATGCGAGCAACCAACACATGAAGAAGGATAAGGAGTTGATGGCGGTGACAACCCAGTAGTAGCAGAGTAGGTGGTTACTCCAATCACTGAATTTGCTGCTTGATGACAGGGAGAAATTATCGGAGAAATGACATGACTGTCAGACATACTGTGTTGATGTTTAGCGCCTGAGAAAAAGAAGTAAAAAGCAACAATATAACTTTTTGAACAATAGAATATCGTAAAGTCTAGGACAAACGCAAGCTGATCAAAGTTGCCACAACACAGTAGCATGACGAGATGAAGTCAATAAGATGAACAACAAACTAAGAAAAAAAAATAATGTAGTATAGAAACATGACTTCAATACGAACGTCGAGACAGTTCTATTGTTTGGAACCGAAACAAGAACTACAACCATCATCAAAATGTACAAGTATTTATGAACAATTGTCTACTCAAGATACTCAGTGTTCATTGACCGGATATAATCAGCAACAACCTACTGTGGGAGAGAACAAACCAGATTCTAGTTGAAGAGGAAATCAGGAAATGTTGGAGGTGGATAGGACATACATTGCGAAAATTATCTATGTGCATTAAAAGGAAAACCCTAACTTATAATCCTGAAAAAATGAAAACAGGAGGACCAAGAAACACACTGAGTCGGGAATTTGAAGCAGACACCAAAAGGATGAGTAGCGATCGGAAAGGACTGTCCATGACAGAGTTCAATGGAGAATGCTGGTGGGTGGTCTATGCTCCTTCACAAGGGGCAACAGGCATATGTAAGCAATATTATGAGAAAAACTAAGCACTAAAAATATAATATAAAAATGACAATCAAGACGTATGTGTATAACTGGATACTGAGAGTTAGATCTACAGGAAAATAAACAATAGAGGCATCTGCTCAATTATGATCGAAGCTGCTACCTTGACGCGGTGGTCGGGCTTGCCTATCGTGATGACCCAACCGAGCTATATTGGCTGGAACATATGTTCCTGCAGGTTCTACCATGCCAGGCAGGTCGGTTGGTGAACGGTAAGACTAAAAGCAGCAACTCAAGGTCTGAGGGCGAAGTCGTACTGCTGAATGTAGAGAGGTGTGACAGCAGTAAGGTGTTTCCCTCGGACATCCAGCATGACAGCGATGCTGCCTTCCCACAAGGAGGGATGGGGTTAGAAAAGGTCGACCCTAAAAATGTCACACCCCGCCTTACCTCACGGATTTCCGTCTCCGGCGGTAAGGCCCTTTGAAGAACGGAGCTAACACGTCAAAAGCCTTCCACAAAAAGGCCGTGCGCGACCGGCCTCAAGCAGTTGTCCCTTGGGCTCTGCGGTCACGCTCCCAGGTCGTCAAGACCAACACTAATCCAATTTCCTTTTCAGGTACCTCCAGAAGAACCCTTCCACGGTGTGGGCAACCGGGAAGTGACATCAGCCCTCATACCCGTAACAGCACAAGAGACCAAGGTGGTCACATTCAAATCTTTCCAACACCTTCTAATACCTCTCTTACCTCCCCGACTAACCCTCCCCACGTCTCTTTATCACCTCGCACCACTAGGGCAAACGATTCGAGTACGTGGAACGCCATTCCTGGTCTCCTGAAACCACGCTCTAAACTACACGTAGGAGCTTTTAACGTACGAACACTTTGCCAAATAGGACAGCAGGCTTCCTTAGCTAAAACTTTAGGATCTCGCGCCATCGATGTGTGCTGCGTCTCCGAAACGCGCATACAGTACCCGAGTAGCGTCATTCATTTGACCTCACCATGCCAAAATAAAGAACCGACTCGATTTACGCTTCGTGTATCTGGAAGCCCTGATTCTGCTTCCCGTGGCCTCGCCGGCGTAGGTATAGCATTGAGTCCTAGGGCAGAACTAGCTCTCTTAGAGTGGATCCCAGTAGACAGTCGTTTGTGCGCTGTCCGACTAAACGGAACAGTGAGGATCCGAAAAGGTAGGGACACTCGTCGTTGCCTCTTCGTCGTCTCTGCCTATTCTCCCACTGACTGCAGCTCAGATGATGTAAAAGATGAGTTTTACAGAAAGCTTTCGGACCTTCTCCGAAAAGCTAAGCGCTCGGATGTAGTAATAGTGGCCGATTACTTTAATGCTCAAGTAGGTAAACTAAGCGATAGGGAAAGACACCTAGGTGGATCTTGTGGTGTCGTGGCTCAAAGAACAGATAATGGCGACCGTCTGTTGCAGCTATGCTCAGATAACCGCCTGTTCCTTGCAAATACTAACTTTAAACATAAGGAAAAACATCTTTTAACATGGCGACCCCCTAATTCGTCCCAACGTTGGACCCAAATAGATCACATCGCTATCAGCCACCGATGGAGGGGCTCGATAGAAGACTGTCGCTCATTTTGGAGCACATGCCTAGATTCAGATCATGCTCTAGTGCGAGCGCGTATTTGCTTACGTCTTACTGGACGTAGGAAAGACGCTGCAAGGAAACCTCTTAGGGGCCTACTTAATGATAGTCAAGCTAAGAGTATATTTCAGGAACAACTAGGCAAACAGTTAGGCAGCCATGTATGTGATGCCCACCCTGATGCAGCATGGAATGATATCCGAAAAGCTGTGGAAACAGCTGTGATATCTGCTAGTAAGGTAAACCAGAAGGTTAGGGAGCAACACTGGATCTCAACAGCATCTATCGCACTGATAGATGCTCGGAAACTCATTCCACCTGGCTCTGAACATAATGAAGACCGGAGTCAGCTTAAGCGCAAGCTGACAAGAAGTCTACGCAATGATCGCGAACAGTGGTGGGTAGCGAAAGCAAGAGAGATGGAAAAGGCAGCGGCAATGGGTAATAGCAGACAATTGTTCAGACTCGTTAAGGAAACCAGAATTAGGAACCCGACCGTTAGCGAAACAATCTCAGAGAAAGATGGACATATTATCCATTCTCAATCCAGGAGATTGGATCGATGGGCAGAACACTTTAGGGATCAGTTCAACTGGCCTTCAGCCACACTTCGGTTTCCCACGATCTCTAGTCAACCTGAATGGCAAGTTAATGTAGGTCCTCCGTCCCTTTACGAAGTTGAAAAAGCCATAGGAAATCTGAAGCGAGGGAGAGCAGCAGGCCCTGACAGGTTTACTCCTGAGATTTTTAAGGATGGTGGTCCAGTATTAGCAATGAGATTAACCGAGGTCTTAGGTAGAATTTGGGAACTGGACATAATCCCATCTGACTGGTCTCAATCACTGGTTGTGCCAGCCTATAAGAAAGGACAAAAGTCCTCTTGTGACAATCACAGAGGAATCAGTTTGACTAATATAGTGTCTAAAATATTAGCTTCAATAATTATTCGACGCCTAACCAAAGCTCATGAAGAGCAGACTAGAGAAAATCAGGCTGGTTTTCGACCTGGACGTTGTTGTATAGACCAGATATTCACACTACGTCAGGTTCTATAACACAGACACACATTCAGACGCCCCACAATGGTAGTATTTCTCGACCTTAAGGCAGCATTCGACTCTGTAGATCGTAAGGTTCTATGGCAGTGTTTGTCACTGAAAGGAGTACCAAAGAAGTACATTAACTTTATAAAGGCTCTCTACTCGAACACAACTGGTAGAGTGAGAGCTTATGGTGAACTGTCATCAGAACTGATTACCTCAAGTGGTGTTCGTCAGGGCTGTCCACTCTCCCCATTCTTGTTCAACTTTGTGGTCGACGTACTTTTAGAGATAACACTTTCCTCATCTAAATTTCCAGGGGTTGAACTTTTACGGGTAAATTCACTTGTTGACTTAGAATATGTTGATGACATAGTTTTATTTGGTGAAGACGCTGACAAAATGCAGAGTCTCCTGACCACTCTAAGCAACAATGCAAGCATGTTCGGGATGCGATTCTCTCCCTCGAAATGCAAAATGTTGCTTCAGGATTGGGTTGCATCGGCACCTGAACTAATGATAGGGAGTGAAGTAATTGAGCGTGTCGACCGCTTCACTTATCTTGGAAGTCTCATCAGCGCTTGTGATCTGGTGTGTGACGAAATCTCAGCACGGATACAGAAGGCTCGACTAGCTTTTACCAACTTGCATCATTTATGTCGTAGGCGAGATATCCGTCTATCAATCTGAGGACGTGTTTACTGCGCAACAGTTCGTTCCGTCCTACTTTATGGCAGTGAAACATGACCGGTAAGAGTAGAGGATATTCGTAGGTTACTAGTATTTGATCATATGTGTCTTCGAAATATTGCTCATATATCCTGGGACCATCGAGTAAGTAATGCAGTTGTTAGGAAACGGGTACTAGGTAAGGATGGCAAATCGATTGATGAAGTAGTGAAACTTTACCATTTGAGATGGCTGGGACACATGTTACGTATGCACAACCACCGACTGCCTCGACGTGCGATGTTCAGTGGTATAGGAGTAGATTGGAAGAAAGCTAGGGGCGGCCAAACCAAATCATGGCACAAATTCATGAAGTCACTGACAAGTGGACTGAGTTATGTTGGTAGGTGTAGACTACCTGGTTGGGGACCGCGAGGTGATAGGAACCGATGGTTAGAGACCCTGAACGATATGGCTCAAAATCGTTTGCAATGGCGCAGGTGCATCCACTCTTTGTGTTCTCCCGAATTCTAATCTTCTGAATACTTGATGTCCCATTTTTCCTCTTTGCAAATTTATTTCACTGGATTATACTCTTTAAATAACATCTTCAAACCCTAATCTTCCCGATTACTGCTTATACTCTTATTACCTCTACCACTATGGGATTTGAATCGACAACTGCATCTCTGTGCTAATGTGGTGTGGCAACTCGAACTGATGTACGTACGTACGAAGTTCTACGTTGTTACTGACTGACTGACTCAACTATGACTGATTATGAAATGCATCATTCAAGGTTTTCAACTATTATTACTATTGAAAACCAAATAAAATATTCTATCCAGTAAAGTAGACGCAAAATGTGTTTTACATATATATTTGAACAAATAACATTTTATCAATACTAAACAATCATTAATATTCGCTATCAACAATTCTAAGACAAAACTCATGATCTTTTACCCTTTTTTATACAGATCGACTTCATCAATTGAGAGTTGAAATGTGACATATATGACAATGTTTTCTTAATGAAACTGCTTAACTCAAATGTGTATTAGTTATAATCATAAATAAACAATTGAGATAATGATTCATGGAAAAATTCATAGATTAGCATATTGTGTAACATATAATATTTATTTTTAATCGGTAGCATGCTATATACTCAAGAATGATTAGAGACTAGTTCTTTTATAACAGTATAAGACCGGGAAGTTTAGATCTCAAAGAAAAACGAACACAAGAGTTTCTCAACTGAACCTTAGTTAAATACTTATCTACTATAATATATTAAATGCATTCAATATTAATCTATTTAAGTGTTATTAGATAGTAAATGTCAAGTCGTAAGTGAAAATAGTAAACATGTCGATGGGTTTGTGAATACATCATTGATTGAGAATCCTAGGGGTTATGCAATATCTGTTTAACTTCTGTGTATATTGACGTGCTACAGTGACACTTGTAGATAGGTTGAGAAAATACAGTATTACACAGATCCCCTTTGCTTATTAGTGACTATTAGGGGGGGGACGCATGCGAATAATCACGGCGTATTTAATCAATAATAAATCATGTTTACTGAAAACTTGAATCAATCTTTTGATGTACGCATCAAATTGTATACCAGTACACGTATAAAGAGTAAAAAGCTTGAAAAATATTCATACACTACTACCATTTACAGATTACGAAGCGTGTGAGAAAAACAAAATTTGAACTAATTCATTAAACGTTTGTTCTGGTTTTTTGAATAAATTTAGAAATATAGCTCGTGACAGTCATTGGAGAAAGATTTATGCATGCACGGTATCTCTCTCTACTAAGAAATTATTTCGTTATTAAGAAAAAGTTCTCTTCATCTTTATTTCATTGGTTAACTTTTACAAGTAATCATAATAAAACACTACAACATGCCAACACAACTGTTCATCATCATCTAGGTAGGTTTGATTATTGTCAGCAATTTTAACACAACAATTTAGTAATTATAATACATAATTATAGGCATACAAATATAAATTAATGGATATTATAAATAATACACATACCTGATACAGTTGTATTGGATGTATGTGAAGATACAGAAAATGCATTGGGAATACGTAAATATTTACGTTCTTGTATCTCACTATGAGAATGTTTACTACTGTTACTACCATTATTAATAATAGTTACACTGATTTGTGATGATGGTGACGACGACGAAGGATGATGACTAGATTTCTTTGAGGAATTTTTATGTTCATTTGTACTATCAGTAGCAACACTGGTAGTGAATGCTGTAGATGACGATGATGATAATAATAATAGTGGTGATTTATTAGCACTACTATTATTGGCATTAGCAGTAATATTAGGTGAATTTAGCAAATTATTAAACTGAAGTACAGACGGTACTGATATACGTTCTTTTAATGGAGCATTACTGAGTAATTGTGCAGCTTGTATTTCTTCTTTAGTCATATGACGTTCCTATGAAACACGACATAAGAATAGTAATGATAACAATAATTATAAATAAATAAGTTAATTATAAGTATGAACTTAGAAACATCCAGCTAAAAAGATAGCAGAAAAGTAAAACAAACAATATTCAGGAAAAAAGGTATTGTATCACGGAGGAACATCCTTGCTAATAATGTTTATAAAAGATTAACAATACAACTTCATAAAAGCTTGAATAAGCTCCAACTCACTTATTTACTGATTTTACAACACTGGTATTTTATTGTCAACATCCCGACGAGAAGAATGGATGGTAACTGTTGGGATCCATTTATGGACTAATATATTCTTGTTGTATAACTATTCAGTAACTAGATTATACATATATATATATATATATATATATATATATATATATATATATATATATATATATATATATATTCGTCTTATAAGTTTTATTTCGACCTATCGACTATTATGATACGATTTACTATTCTTAAATTATACTCAGTTCATTAATTACAGTCTCTCACGTTTACAGTCAGCGTTTGGCTTGAAATTGTACAAAAGTTATCTCCTATTTTATAGCGTGATGTGGTTCGTTTGGCTTGAATATAAACCACGTATGTTTGAAATAAATGATTCACGCAGTGGAAGCTGGTATTGGTGTTCTGGACTCAGCTGAAAGGGCTAGGAGGACAAAGGACCAATAAGGACGCTAGACTCCTCATACCAACCCATACGTCATTGATTTGGCTCAGTGCTAAGATTGTATAAATCGTATCCCGATTGGCGAATAAGTCACGTGATAATTAGCCGGGTTAAAGACATAACATCTACAACTGAAAAATTGGAAATGAAATTACGATCGTTTTCAGAATGAAATCCAGCATGCATATATATACCAACTCTGGGATGAAGGTTCATACAGTTGACGAGTTTCAAATAGGACGAAACATGCGTACTATATTCCAATGCTAATCACGTTTTATCTGTTCTGTATTATTCATTTCGTTAGAGAAAGAAATCTAAAAACACCAATCGAAAAAATTTAAGCTGCAATGACGGCTAAGTGATTGGAAAAGTCGGTTATAAAAATAATGGGTCAAAAACATTGAACTTAGACCCCACCGAATTGTACTATTTGAGTTGATTATCTAAAGTGTGGAAAATTCAAAGTGTATCACAGATATCTGTACATGGTAAAAATGCTTCACATTTACAAGATTTGTCATTGAATTGGAAGACGGGAATTCTGAAGGAAAAATCTTAGGAAAGATGACGAATATTTTGCTAAAAGTGTAAAACATTTTGTGAATATAGAAAACTTTTGTTGATTTGTGTCGGGATTCGGTATGATATAAAGGGACTAAAGACCCATCACGAAGGATTTTCATTAAATTGGGCTCTAATATATAAAATATAAATAGATAGATATCAATGGAGACTATCCAGTGTCTGAATAAACTTGATTAGATTGATACATAGACCCACTGACCTACGGATCTCATATATAAGAAGTCTTCGACTTTTTTACATGAGATGATGGATTAGAAAATTTGATGAATCTGTCAAAACAACGCTCTAAGATGAAAAGAAAAAAACAGTATTTCAACGCATGACAATTAAATATTATAAAAGCAGTAGGAAAAGTCATACATTTCAAGAAATTTACCTCCGGTATAATTGGTTCATTCACCGTCTCAGTATCCCTTGGTTCATAAGACTCAGATAACTGATACATTTTACTTTCAAACTCTGCCTCAGATGAAACGCCAGCTAGTTCAAATGGATCAACATGTTCTAAAAATTCCTAGTAAAATAAAATCGAGAAAATAATTATGAAATGTTTTTTAGATATTTGCATACTAAAACATACATATATATGCTGCCTTTAACAAAGAAATACTCACTTATTTCGTACAACAAAATGTAACAATTGGTGACCAACTACATTCACCATTAAGATTGACTTCAATTGGAAACCAATGTCCTAGATGTTTTGAAATACTGAACACTTAAGCAATATTAAATATAGAACCACGAGCCAAATCGATGCGATATACAATCAAAACAAAGTAAACAATGACAGGTTGAATGTCAACAATAACCAATCAAGATCGAGGTATACAGGGAAAGCTGTGAGCCATATGTGGCGAAATTCGAACACTTCACTTTTACCGGAAGTTTGTGCTGATGATGTCGTTCAGAATGACGATGAAAGCCCCACGACAAAACCGTATAGCTCAGAGAACAAAATTTCATCGAAATCATCCATTTGAGCTACAAATCTCGTCAACCATCTCAATATCAATCCCAAGAATATTTTCACAGTTCGTACACGTCTGTTCAAAATAGTATCATTTATCAACCTTATTATTCAATAACAAGCACAATGTCAGTTAACGTATACATTAGTGTGAACCATAGTATATGTTTGGATTTAAAGCAAGGAAAATCAGATAAAAACATGTTCTTACGAACATTAAATTAAAGTCAAATAAATCTAGGCAAGAATTTTTTTCACCCTATGAGTATTTCTCATGAAGGTTTCATTTAAATTTGAATAAAACTACAATTAAATATAACCCATTTCGATTATGTAATAAATTTATTTCAGTTTAAAGCACTACCCAGAGGTTGCTTAGATAAAACACAATCAAACATTGATTTTTATTTATGTAAAATATGGTGAAATCTGAGGCAATGAAAGGGAATAACAGACGACTACACAACCGATTGCGTCTGCCTACTTTCATTGCATTGTTTGTTTACTTTTTAAGTAAAAACGTGAACGATTGAAAACATTGTTGTTTAAATCTAATTTTTTGAGGATTGCATAAGTGAATTACTATTCAACAACAACCAAACGAAAATTGTAATCAAATTAATGAAATAACATAGTATATTGTTATAGTTTTAAAAAAAGGTCAACATAAACCACCAGTTACAAAGATAGGATTAATTTATCGTCGGGATGTGTTACGTCATATCTTAGTGTTTCGATTATAATTAAATCTTAAACAATGTAAAGTTGATTTGCGAAGTTTCTGTTTGATTTAAAACAAATGAAATACGATATATATATTCGTTTTAGCAGAACAAATCGGTGAGACTATAATCTATGGAAGAACCAATTAGATATAAGTTAACAGGTCTTGAATTTTGGCGCGAAATTTATTCACAACCAGTTAAATAGAGTTTTGGTACGTTCACGGTCAAAAACCTGAATCTAATTCCTAACCCCAATTATCAATTGTAAACCACGATTCCAATTCCTTACACTGGTTTATAACCATCATTTAGCCCTAATTAGTATGTGAACATTTTGAAGGTCACTCTAACGTCGCTCAAAGGTCGTTCATAAATTATAATCTCACCAATAAATCTATTCAGATGATATGTAACGAAATAGTACTGGAAATGAATAGGAAAAAGACAGAGATGAATGGAAACGCAGTCTTTTTGTTTCTTTCGGAATTATATTCATTTAAAAAAGTAAAAATAACAAATCTTGACTTACTCGTATATTATCATCTACATTAAATGTATATGGAATACGTTGAAATGCTAAATAACGTTCAACAATATCAGCTAATTGACGATGTTTCCAACAATTAATCATTACATTACCAACGTCATTTATAATTGTATCTGGATGACGTAAATCTAAGTGTATTAGACGTGTCATTACTCCAGCAGCTATATATGGAACACATGGATGACATGATTCACCAGAGGCATGTTGTTTTTCTAGTACGCGTATACGACGTTCATGTGATTTACTTGTTCCAGTTGAAAATGGCAAACCGAAACTAGCAAAATGACTATTTATTGAATTATTATTACTAGTAGTATTGTTAGTACTGTTGTTATGAATAGGATGATTTGCTGATAGATTTGAATCGATCATTGGATTGTTTTGATGTGATATTAATGATGATGATGATGAGCACGAAGAGGATGTTCGCTGACATTTCGGATTGTGAACACCTTCACGTCTTAGACGATCAACTATTTCACGATAATGTCGCATTCGACGAATAGCCTAAATTATTATTATTTGAACAAAAAAGGGTGAATTGAAGATAAAAACATAATAATGTTATAAGATAGTTAACTGATTTAATAAATTAGCATATGATTAAAGGCAGAATGTAAACGTTAGATTTTTTCTATATCGTCAACTTACGGTTCTGCAATCATACTAAATCTGAAATAGTTATACCGAAAATTTTCGAGCACAACAACAGATAACGAATCGCTTTAGTATACCATCAAAATCTAATGAATCCCAAGTTAAACCACATAATCAGGAAGCAAATAAAATTGTCAGTATGGGGTTGTAGAGATTGAATTCCGTTGAAATCGTAAACGGATCCTAAAAAGATCCGCTACTGGAAACCTAGAAGCACTAAATGACCGTCTCATTCAGGTATGGGACTCCTCAGTAGTGAGTACTCACGAACCGACACATGGAAATTGAACCAAAGACCCTCGATTTCGCACGCTAACATCTAGATCAACAAACCGACATCCAACGGTGTCTTTGAAAAGTATTGCTATTCAAAAGAGACCAAATGAGCCATATATTCGGGATCTAACCGTTGATTCCACTCAATCTGCGCACACAATGAGACCATCAAGTGAGAAACTACGATGTATGAAGTCAACTAACGGAAAGATGATTCATTGATACCTACATTGTACGACAATCAGACTTCACTAAAATTCGAAAACTATTGATGACTAAACTACCTTACTTCTCAGCTTACGTCATAAACGTCGTGTCACGCATTTATTTACAACAGAAGAGGAAGATAAAATTAAATGGTCTAATTATTCTTTTCAGTAGCAAACATGCAACAGGTTAAATAAAAAAATCTGTCTATCGTTGCTGGGTAATACTAAACGAACTATATATATTTGATTACCTGAAATGACTTCCTCAAACGATACACGGCTGCACTAATCAATGCTGACTTGGCTTCCTGACTTCCTTGTAAATTGTTCATATGCTCCATAATTAACATCAAGTCGATAACACGTTGGATGCCAACTATTCGATCATCTGGGTGTGCTTCACTAAGTATCGAATAGATTAACCAACTGCGAAACTATATACAATTGTTTTTAAGAAACGGGAAGGATACGAAAATATAATAATAGTGTTTGTCATTATCATCATTATTATAATAATAGAATAAAATGAATTAACTAGTATTTCATTTGTATAGAATGAGACTCCAAATGCCCTAGTAAGGCCGAGAGTAGGGAGAGTCCTCACTTCCCTCGAGACGCTATCAACTAGTGTATACCCACTACCAAATAAGTACCATTCATTGCTTTGTTGCAGAAGGGGTTTGTTTACAAAATTAAGTGGATGAAATGCGAATGACCTACGCTCAACTGGGTTGGTATATAGAGAGGATTCACCACAGTTTTCTTGTAAATCTTGAATCCAAAGAGTCGAACTACATATTTCACAAGTTTATTCGGTGATTGAGTAGCTCAGAGTTCTTAAACTTATCACATCCCTGAGTCATATAGATTTAAAGACATTGAGGAATCTGTCGACTTAAGAAGTCCATAAAAAATAAATTATTGGAAACAAATAAATCCCTTACAATAGTTTAATATACTTGTTCTAGATGGCTGATAACAGTTAACACCACGTATTGAGTTGGAGTTTGCCAATTATTAAGTCATCCAAATGGTGAGCATACAAATCTGAGTGGAGATCATTTAATATCCTGGTACGATAGGTTTAACAGTGAAGTTAGATGCACTATACCAAATAAACACGATATTTCAAGTAATGAAGTAGCTAATCTTTACTGACTAAGGTAGTTGAGACATATATTACCTACGCAAGACTATAACCTAACCTGACACGATATGTTAGCTGGTGTAGTAGTCTAGAAGAAAGTTAAGGGTGGTCAAACCATGATGTGACATCAAATCATGAATTCACTCTGTTCGGTTAGGTGTAGACTACATAGTTGAGGTCAGTGTGATTATTGTAACCAATAGATAACATAGATCAGAATCGGTCATAGTAGCGCAGCATACACTCCGTGAATTGCTTTATATCTTGAGTTTTAAAATTATCCCGTTGTAACGAATGTTTTCCAGCAACACCAATAAATAGTAATATCGCTACTAGTATTACTACTCAGTCACCTGGCTTAATAATTTCAGTTCTCTTTGCTAATGTCAACTTGAACCCACATATATTCCACATACATACGCTGCTTTATGATGAACTGACTGACTTAAGTAAACTTTTATATGAAATCAGTGGTATTTAATTGTCCCAAGTTTACAATATGGGTAAATGAGTTGAGAATAATTAGCCTAGAGTCGATCGAATAAGTCAAAGCTGAAAAAGCTAAATTACGATTCATCCAAATCGAACACCAGATAGTATAACAGTAACAGTTTGAAAGACGATCCATATATTTTACTATCGACTATCTGTAAATGAACCAACATCAATTTTACGTCGCATAAGTATTAAAGGCTTCAGTCTACATGAAAGACGTTACATTCATTATTTACTGTAAATTATTGAGGGCTAAGTGGTAGTCAGTCAGCCATGACTTAAGTTTATATATGCTATTTGAAGGTTGTAGGCCATGTTGGATAAAAGAAAACAAGCAACGTGCATTATATACATTACCTTTTTTAATAAACAGCATGATATTAAGATATCTTCTATACTTTCCAAAAATTAGTCAATATTAAAATGTGTATAGACTTGATGTCAATTATTCAGAATAACAAAGTAATTGATAACTAGTAGTATTGTAACAAATTTGGATTTTTTTCCCTAACGTCTATCCCTCCCAGTTTATTTTACTCCTGATGATAAATACAGTACATATTATTTCTTAATTTATTTACTATTCCAATTGTAAATATTAACTAATGAGTATGTAAATTGAATTCGCATTTTTTTAAAAACCATGTTTACAACCTATAGAATAATAGTTGTTACCTTCTCAAAAATGCTACTCATAGTTTGATTTGGCACAAATAAACAATAAAAAATAATAATAAAATGATCAATCAATGGAGAATAACACCACTTATCCACACACACAACCATATTTTCAGAGGATACGAAAGCAGTTGTTTTAATTAATTAATTAAAAGAAACATAATATACAATCATTCTCAAATTTCACTAATAGTTTATATTTTGGTGAATATTACCATTAAACTAATCCATTGTTAGAAAAATAAATTTGCCAACATATGATGTTAGACCGTCCAATGCTTCCGGGTTTTCCATAGTGGTCTAGCTTTAACTGACTCATGATCTTAACCATTGAAATTAACTAATATTATTGTTATCATGCTTACGAAGAGACCCGAAAGTATTTCGCTGAAGCCTGTGTACGGGAGATAAAGTGGTTGTATGTATAACACTCGAAATTACGGAGAAACACCTCTTCCACACTTCTATATTTCAAATATTTTTTTTAAAAACGATATCAGTTCATGGTAAGAACAATCTAATTAGAAGTAAATCGAATGTGTTAGTTCATGCAAATTATCTTTGTACTATGATACAAAGATAATTTGGATAAATAAGAAAGACATAAATAAGAAAAAAAAAGAATTTACAAATTATGTTGATGTGGTACGACTTTTTAAATTTATGATCAATTAGCGTTAAAAATAAATATCCCCATAGATCAATGGAAACAAAGGTGTGTGTGCGCTACAGTAGTATATCATCACAAACGATAATTAATGAGATGATTTAAAGTATTCAAATATATCCGAAACAATAGTAGGTTTAACAACAACAACAACACCACCACCACCACCACCAACAACAACTACTACTACTATCAATGAATACACACTGAGGTCACATGACAGGAAATCACTGTTCATATTATTATTATTATTATTATTATTATTATTACTATGTGGACTTGGAATAAATATCGTATGATAAAGACGAAGGTTGTATAGTTAAAATATGTAGGATTAATAAACTTCTAAGTAGTAATAAAGAATCTAATGTGAAATATTTTTTTGAATATTGATTTATCTGTGTTATTGTTTCGTTAAAACGAAAAACTCACATATTTTTGAACATGAAAAAGTGGTCAAAGTAAAGACGAGCTACAGTGATTCTTAAAACGACTGATTTAATTTGAAGTTACTTTTCAATAAACATTCAGTATAAATTAAAAGTATTTCATAATAGAAACACTAAAACTTGTAAAAAAATTAGCGTCTTTTTTTAGGATGTTGACTGATTTCTCAAGGTTCATTATCAGTTTTCTTGTCCCAAGATTGTAGATATAGTTTTACAGAAAATTCATCATCGCTTATTAAAAGACTAGTTTTAGCAAACTTGTGGGACGGTTACGAAGAATTATCGCAGTCAACGACGTCACGGTGATATGAAAATGTCAAGAGCATTCCTACCTCACCCATTTGCTTATAACCACTGGTGAAATGATTTCTTTGGAAGTTTACGATAAAAAGAGTGAATTGAAACAAAATTTGATCGACTCACGTAGTAAGTAGTAAGATCTATTCATACTAAAGTGAACACTTTTTACATTTAGTAATTTCAGTTTAGCACATTACGACGAAGATTTCTTTCCAAAAATTTTAAACATTATGAGCATTATACATAGTTGCTCTTAACGCACATTTTGTGATGAAGATAAAAGTTGTCTAATTTAGAATTTCGCGCAGAACCTTGAAAAACGTTTTCTTGATTCTGATTGATATTTCCTTATGATGTTCCTCTACTGAACAAGGTTATCAACGTGGAGACATATATATATGTGTATGATACACTTACTCAGTACAGACTTATACGGTATGCTGAAAACTAACAACTCTGATGAATGCAACAATGAGCTACAGTTTATTATGGTAGTGAATTGTCATATTAGTTACAGCGATCCAGCTGATATATGGTAAATTTACTTTCTTCAGTATCGGAAATCGGGAAGTAACAATGAACGTTACACAGTGTGGTCTCAAGTCGAGTACTTACTTTTGCGCTTAGTAAATGAGCTAGACAAAAATTGAAGTAATGGATTTAAACGAGAGATTTCCATGAATTTAAAATTACGAACCCGTGTATACAAAATGTTGGCCTTGGAAGCCCAATCAAAAGGAAACATCAGAATTTGCAATTTTAATCTTTAACACAGCAAGTGAAATTTACGATTCATCGTAACTCGGAGGTCAGAAATACAATTGAAGCTATTACGCGAATGTCCAACACTTAACTGGGTTGGTGTGCATAGAGGATTCACCATGGGATGGAAAGTTGGAAAACCCAATGGAAAACTAATGGTGCACATTGGCTATAGAATCCTGAAGGAACAAATGACGTATGAACCTATTGTTGGTCACCGGCTACAATGGGACTGCATCTCTTTACATTGCTCCACTGTCTTGCGAATTAGACCTGTAGATAGAAGGGTCAAGATGTGGTCTCCTAAGAAAACCACCTACTTCGATTTGGGCACCCGAACAGTACCCTAAGCCCATATACAAACGACAACTGCTTGTGTTACACGTATATATTTTAGTACCTCTTTGAATCAATGTTTATGTGTTTAAATAAATAGATGAGTAAGAATATGTTCAAGCAACAATTGAGCTAACAAAATATTAATAACTGCTAGCAAACACCAAACGTAAGTCAAAATCACTTTTCTGGATTATCACGTAAATGATATCGACTTATCGAGTGTAGTAATCATGTTGAAACTAATGGCACTATAGATTATGATAAACATTAATATTCATCAACCAATTAGTTCACAGATAATTAACTAAAACTGGATTAACAAACAAATATATCGTGTAACACAGTACAATACAACCTTATGAAATAAGATATATTAATTAAACAAATTAAATAATTACTCTTAAATTATTGATAATCTCAAAAGAATACTTATTTTAGTAACTTTAAAAGAAAGAAAAGAAAGACTATTGTGAATTAAGAAATCGGCATTGAATTCAGTTAGTCAAACGAATATAAAAACAACTAACGGCTATGAAACAAAGATGCAACATTTTAACTACAATTTATTTAATAATAAAAAGTAGAATAAACAATGATGTTAATCAATTTATCTTTTTTCATAATAAAATTCATTATTCAGTAAATTTTTTTTATTGAAAGCAATCGAAGAAACAAAATGGAAGTTAATTGTAAATCATACAAAATGAATAAATGCTAACATTAAATAGAAATAATTTCGCGAAACTGATGAGGGAAAATAGAAAACCCTTATTGTGATGAGAAAAAAATAAACTGAAAACTGAACTGAAACTTTTTACATTAAAATTTGTGTTCATAGAAGATACTTGAATCTGTTGAAGCCTTTATCAAGACCTTATTTTTATTCATTTATTTAAACATATAAACATTGATACAAGAAGGAAACAAATATATGTGCACCGCAAAAACCAATTGTTTTGTGTGAGGGCTGGAGTACCGATCGGGTGCCCAAATCGAAGTAGGTGGTTTCCTTAGGAGACCACATCTTGACCCTTCTATCTACAGGTCTAATCCAAAAAGACAGTGGAGCAATGTAAAGAGATGCAGTCCCATTGTAGCCGATGACCAACAATAGGTTCATACGTCATTTGTTCCTTCAGGATTCTATAGCCAATGTGCACCATTAGTTTTCCGTCGGGTTTTTTCAACTTTCCATCCCAAGGTGAATCCTCTCTATATACCAACCTAGTTAAGCGTAGGTCATTCGCATTTCATCCACTTAATTTTGTAAATAAACCCATTCTGCGACAAAGCAATGAATGGTACTTATTTGGTAGTGGGTATACACTAGTTGATAGCGTTTCGCACCAGGGCATAATGTTATCTGTGCAGTTCTACTCCACATACATACAAACATGTCCAAAAAGAAAACAATCGAATAGGTAATTAGTTTGTGGAATGTCAAACCAAAAAACTAGTTACTTCTAGCAGACATGAATGAAACACGAATATTCATAACACACGCTAAATTATATTAGTTGATATTTCACCTCAAACTGTGACTTGATCAAGACTTCTTCAATAGGTTAATGATATTGTTCTGGTATGTCTACCAAGAACATAGTAGAAACATATTAAGGGAAAAAATAGTTATAATTAACGATAAATATATTTGAACACTTACACGATTTGAAAATGACTTTGATTTATTCAGATTAGGTACAGCATTACCAGTGCGATCGCGACTTTCAACTTCCCAAAATGGTATACGTCGATATAATTCCCATTCATATAATGTAACCTGTTCAGCTAATTTGAAAGGATGAATCTATTAAAAACAAAGATTAATAGAAAGTAATTAATGAGAAACACACAAACAGATTTAAAGAAAATATATAGTTCAGACAAAATACATGAATTTACTATTGGCCTAAATAATGAGTTATCTTATTCAGAGTTTTCAAGCACTGGCTCTCGTATAAATCCTACCAACTATGATGACCTGTACTAGTAGTTGAGCTAACTGAGGATGTAGATAAGTTCAAATGACCCAATACCTAGAATTATCACATTACAAGAACATTATCTACATACCGTACTTTGCAACTCAATAGTAGTGTTTTAATGCTCAAAATGAGCAAGATATAATAGAATCTGAACTCAAATAAGCATTACCAATGTTACAATGTATTAGGTAATCGGTTAATGTATATCTACTTGAAAATATAATTAATGAATCAGTTTGGAAAGAAGTAACTGACAGAAGACAATCTTTCATAATGCTCATCTCCGACAATACTGTTTAATAAGTCTGTGCATAGAAATGGCACAAAACTCATAATCATTAAGCTTGACATAGTCACACGTCATAACAGTTCATACGTTGAAGCATTTCATAAACTCTAGAATCTGGACAAACGGCGAACGTTGAAAGATAATAAATTACATCATAATTTTCATTTTATTTATATTCGCCATAGATCTATTTAATAAATAATTAACGTAGAAAATATGTCACTACATTCTATCTAATTGGCACTTTCAGTAGATTTTAAAGTCTCTGACATTAATGAATTATCTATGGCCTTTCCTAATAAAAATGAATGAGTATACACAGAAAAGTAAGTAGAATAGTAGAGTAGTAAAAATAGTTACAGTATTAGTATAGTAGTAGGAGAAAAAACCAGAACTACTACGCTATGATTCCAAAACTCAAGATCTCAAGGAAGTCAAAAAGTGAATTAGTGTTGCCCCATTGTGATGAATTCTGACATATGTCACTCAACGTTTTCAACCATTAATTATAATAAGAAAAATTATTAGTAATTTGTAAATCCCTAGATGCTTAAAATAGAGATTAGCAAAAAGTGAATTCTGAATTAAAAATATCATTAATGTTAAATAAAAATTGTATGGTTAAATTACAACTCCACCTGGAGCCCCTCTGGGGTTACTGTCGGCCCCAAGCCCGGATAAAGGAGGGTTGGGCATGGGGTTAGCGACCCCATCCCGTAGAAAACTGACTCGCTAAAAAAACACTAAGAAGAATGGTTAAATTACACAATTTGATTAAACTTTTTGAACTACTATACATTAATTTTAGGGTAGTAATAATAATAATGATAATAGTAATTCACGAAGAAAATAACACACTAACTAGAAACAGTAATCAACTCACATTATTTAAGGTTATACGATTTGCGAAATTTCTTAATTGATTTGATTCGATTGGTGATACAGATGTTGGGTCAGATGATGATGATATTGGCAATAAATCCGCATTATCTTTACTTGTTTCCATTGTTCTTATCATTGTTTCAGGATATTGTGTAGAAATTGGAGGATTTTGCAAATAATGTTTAATACGTTCAACAGACGAAATTAAATATCTAGCTTGTATACTCGATAAAAAATCTAACAGTTTCTGACGTAGTCGAGGATTAGGAGCGAAATCATTCTGATAATAACGTACATTACGAACCCAACGGGATAGGAACATTATCACTCTGGAAATAAAATAAGAATTGATTAAAAAATTTAAAATTATTACGATTGATAAACTGTAAACCTTGTCATTGATCGATTTCTAAAATGATAGATTATTCTACAAGTCACTTATTGCCTGAATGAGTATAAGCCCATAGTACGCTACTCAAGTTGAACTAAGTGAAGTCGTAAAATAAGTGGTTTTTATAGCGAAACAAATAAACACAGACGACCCCATAGCATGTAGAGTCAGCAGTAAGACTTTATTCTCGGACATAAAATTTGCTGTTGTTGGAAAATCATTCTAATAAAGGCCTGGTTGGAATGTTTGAATGGGCAATCCCGACCACTAATTAAAGTTAGGGGACTCGTACAGTATAACTACTAAGTTTTCATCACTGTATGGGCAAATTAAATTTACCTACCTGGTATTATTACTAACTCATATACACAATAAATATAACACAGAACTATTACGAAAAGAATCGGTTGGATCAATACGTAGAACACCAGGGCTAGTTGTAGTAAAAATAATGTCCTAGGTAAAGAAAATAATATGAAGCAGTAAAGGACTAACAAACAACATGCATTAAAGAGCAATACACAGCTGTCATCGCATAAATCCGACAATAGGGGCTACATAATTAAATTTCTTACCAAAATAATTTAATAATGGCTTCATATATAACAATGGGATAGAAATTATCTCATTTAAATATGTAAAAAAATATTACTTTTAAAATTTTACCTAGACTGAATACGCTTTTTATATCCTGAACGAAATCTTTTGAGCATATGCTGTGCTGGAGATTCCAATTGACCCTGCTCTACTTCAATATTCCATTCTTCAGGTAGAAATTCCGGATCAGGTATACGAAACCTTTCAATGAGTAAATCTAACAATTCATCTGATGTAGTAACACGTCTATAAACCAATAGGAAACAATTTACTAAACGTGTGTCAAAATAAGTTGGATAGGTGAGCCGTTCAATTAGTTTATCTAATGTAGCCATACGTATTTGTGGTGGAAAACTGGATGAATTAGAAAAGCGTTGATTGACAATTTCAGTAGACCGAATAGGGGATTGCGATGATTGTCGTTGAAAAGCATAATCACGCAAAGATTTTATTGTACTGGTACGACCATTCGTAAGAGTTTGGTTTGGATTATTGTTATTATTATGATAATCATTAGATGATCCATGACTAGTCAGGGTTAATGTACTCGATGAACCACTGTTACTCAACATTGATATCATAACAGTAGTACTGTCTTGCTTTTCATGACTTCCAGATAATATTATCTCTCCATTGCGATCATCACTACGTTCAGTGCCGATAAAATTTTTATTATGATTAATAGTCGTAGTAGAATTTTCAATATTTGATGATAATGATGTACTTGTTATCGGTGAAGATTGTGATGATAGACCAATTACTAATGAAAGAGGTAAAGAATTAACAACAATATTAGAAGACGCTAAAGAATGCGATCCTATCAATACTCCATTATTATCGTCATCATCACCTTCATCATCTTCATCTTTTCCTTCTAATTCTTCCTCTTCCCTTTCACCATCTGGACTAGTATCACCTGTTGTACATAAATAACTAGATGATTCATTGAAACGTATTTTACCAGAATCAAAATGATTTGTTACATCAGTTGATTGAATTATAGGCTGTTGTTCATGTTGATTTGTACTTGTAATCGCATTATTCTTATAAGGATATAACATAGATATTGGCACATTTGTTTCAAATATAATATTGTTCATACTATCAGGTTGACTAAATCTAGTCGTAAAATACAATTGCAAAAAAAATATGTATATGAGAAAAACCGAATAGTTTTAATGTTTGTTTTGGAAAATTCGATCGATCCGAAATTATCTTTATTTAATTGAGAGAGAGAGAGAGTTCGAACCACACAGTGAGTAAATATAACTAGCACAACTATTAGAGACTTAATAAAATCCCATCAGCAATTCATCTAAAAGGTACATGTTTATGTAGTTTACTTGAATTACATAAATCATGTCAAGGTTATTGATATTACCGGGCAATAAAAGCTGAAAAGATAGAATAGGATTGAAACTAGTAACCCATTGGTTGAAATTTGGGCGCCAATGCATGTTTTGTCATAACATTTCCAGAAATATTCAACACAGCATCCAACAATACCATACTGTTGTAAAAGAGCTACCAACTACATCATGTAAAGAGAATCCTATATTACATTTATATATGTCTTAGCAGAACAGAGTACATTGGAGATTACTGATAGGCGAACTATGCTTCACGAAGAAATGAAAGGCGTAGGTAAGTAAATATCCTAGGCAAAAGAGAATATACCATAAAAGAGAATGAAGAGCGACGGATAATACGGGTTTACAAAGTTGTGGTTGGATCTTCTTTAGAAAACAGTAAGAATGCAAATTGCAAGACCGTTTTATTTTTATGCCGAACCGACGTGTTAGGTAAAAACTAGATGCCATCAGAGAGCGAAATGAAAGGTTAATTTTATCTGAAATTACAAAAACCTACATATAGAAAGTGTTGATCGATACAATGACCAAAGGATATACATATATTTAGAAGCGACTTGCTATAAATATGGGAAAGGCAGAACATTACAAAGTCAAAACAAAATATTTTCTCTTATTATCGAGTTCAGAACCAAGATTATTAATGCTGGTATCAATAAGTATTTAGCCTTGACCGGAATGAACACTTACTTAATTACAGTTTGAATTATCAGCTTCCTTAAAGTGAACATAGTATTTTGGAAATCAGTTGTGTAATTTAAAAGCGTATTTTACGAGCAGCTTTGTACCATGAATTAAGAAGTTAGCCAACTGACATTCAAACTTAATCAAATTGTAAATCAAATTAGACAAAAATTAAAAGGCAGCTTTAAAAATACAATTCTTTCTGATAAACGTGTTTTCATCGCACATAACACAATGTTCAATAACACAAACGAAGATAGACAAAATATCCGCTACATGTCACTTCTCCAACTCCTCAAAACAACTTACATGTTCTTGTAAAAGCACGTACATTGAAGGAACATGAAGACTGATATGTACGCGTTTTGTTGAACATATTCCAAAGAACATATGGTTTCAAAGACAAAAGATTTTTCAGTTTTATAAGCATGACATATAACTAAGATGAGACATAAGGCAGATGGGATGAAAGCATTCAAAATAATAGAAAGACCATATGAGTCAGCAGTTAACCTTTATCTGCGTTGGTAACATAAGACTTTCGACATTTTTACTCACGTAAGTTCAGTTCATACGTCTTTTCGTTCCAAACTTTTTAGATTTTTGCTGCATTACATAATGGAAATTATTTTAAAATATTATACCGCCGTCACGTCTAAAATTTATAACAGCCTGTTTAAAAATTAATTCTGAATTACATTTATATTCTGTACACATTATTTATTATCAGTATAGGGTTGTGGAGATTTATGAGTTTTTAATTAAGGTCATGATCCGGTCAATATCAGACAACCATTGAAAACCTGGAAGCAGGACCAGAGGTCTTGTGTTCGGATTCCGTGTGCGGAATCATGTACATGTACTGCTGAGGAGTACCATAATAAGATTAAACGGCCGTTCGGTGCATCCAGGTTCTTAGTGATGGTCTGACATTGATCGGTTCATGATCTCAATTAGCATCGTTTAACGGTGGACAAAATTTCTCATAATTTTAAATTATGTTATTAATTGAAACATACCCAAGCTTATTAGTTTGTATGTGGCGAAAGAGAAAGTAACCAATTATAGTGAATAGATTTTATTCTACAATCAATTACATTTCGACTTTACGTAAATTTGTAAAGCCAATTCAGCTAGGCTATTTGTAAAATTTAAGAATCTCGACTTTAGAGAAGTGAATTTTTATCATGGAGTATTTATGAAATATTAGAAAAGAGAACGAAGTAAACACTGGGATGCGCTTCTCTCCCTCGAAATGCAAGTTGTTGCTTCAGGACTGGTCTGCGTCAACACCTGAACTAAGGATAGGGAGTGAAGTAGTTGAACGCGTCGACAACTTCACTTATCTTGGAAGTCTGATCAGCCCTAATGGGTTGGTGTCTGACGAAATCTCAGCACGGATTCGAAAAGCTCGATTGGCTTTTGCCAACTTGCGCCACCTATGGCGAAGGCGAGATATCCGTCTATCAATAAAAGGACGAGTATACTGCGCGGCAGTCCGTTCTGTCTTACTTTACGGCAGCGAAACATGGCCTTTAAGAGTAGAAGACACCCGTAAGCTACAAGTATTTGACCACAGATGCCTTAGAAATATTGCTGGCATCTGCTGGGATCACCGGGTAAGTAATAGTGAGATTAGACGCAGGGTATTAGGGAATGATGGTAAATCAGTTGATGAGGTTATGAATCTTCATCGACTGAGATGGTTGGGCCACGTATTACGTATGCCTGAACACCGATTACCACGACGTGCAATGCTAACCGGTGTAGGGGATGGTTGGAAGAAAGTTAGGGGCGGCCAAACCAAAACGTGGCATCAGTGCTTGAAGTCACTAACTTCTAGTCTTAGCCATGCTGGTAGATGCAGACTACTTGGTTGGGGTCCGCGTGACTATCGTAACCAATGGTTGGAGACTCTTGGTGACATGGCTCAGAATCGATCACAATGGCGTCGGTGTATACACTCTTTGTCTTCCCTTAAACTAAGAGATTAAAATCACTTCATACGAACTAATTCTTCCTTCCTATACTATATCCTTATTGCAACCTTTGACCTAACCACTCCTATGAATCCGGTGTTCATCTTGTTGTGCTAATGAGGTATGGCAACCTGGACCGATGCACATATGTGCCTGGTCCTACGTTGTAGCTGACTGACTGACTGACTAAACACTGACTGAATTACAACTTCTCAGTTAAGTGATATACGCTGAATAATGAAAAACATCCTCTACTTTTCATAATACATTCAATCTACTAATATGTAAGTATAGGATTGTAAAGATTGTTGAGTTTCATTGAAATCATTAACCGGTCAATTCTTCCAGATTTTTAATGGTGGTCTGACATTGAACGACTCATGATTTCAATGAAATCTACCAGTGTGTTTGTAGAGGCTGATTTCCCCTATATCTGACTCCAATAAATAGTATCCCATTAAATGAGTATTTAATGCAGGCTAAATCTCCTAGTAGAATTATAGATTTATTCGAAATTATTCAAAAAACTGATCATGAATTCGGCCAATACAATTAAGTTAAAAAATGATAAATTGTGCACTTAGCTATGTTCAATAAAATAATGAAACATAAAAACGATAAACTATTACGTATAAGGATTAAATCATGAGTACTTCAAACGCAGTGGACGTTCTACACGTGTTTATCGATGTGAATAAGCATTTTAGTTAAGTAACTGCTTCTCTTAAATGAGTAAGTCATATACCAAAGGACACACAGATATCTACCTTATAAAATATATCTAATTTAGAAGGAAAACCTAGAATTTTAAAACTAAACACTTTAGGATAACCTAATACATATACAGAGAGAGTGTGTGTGTGAGTATCAACCATGAATATTTCAACAACAGATTCATATTTGTATAAAATACACTGTAACCTCTAACAGCACTCGAGACCACTGTATTCATAATCAACCTCCCTCTTCAACTCCTATTATTCCTCCTACATGGACTTTCAACTCTGAACTTCCTCTTTCGGCTTCCTCTTCAAGTGTCACCATTTCCAACGATTCTAGTGCTCAAAACACGGTCCCAGGTCTACTGAAACCTCGCTACAAACGACACATTGGAGCCTTCAACGTACGCATCCTATGTCAAATCGGTCAGAAGGCCTCTTTGGCTAAAACACTAGAATCTCGTACCATTGATGTATGTTGTGTCTCTGAAACACGCATAAAGGATCCTAGTGTGGTCATTTACTTGGCCTCACCTCGGCAACACGGAGAGCCAACGAGATACACAGGTCTACTACAGGTCTAATCCACAAGACAGTGGTGCAGCGTTAGGAAATACAGTCTCACTGTAGCCAGTGACCAAAAATTTATTTATTTATTTGGACACATAATATTGGTATAAGAATGCGCCAAATATATATGCGCCACACAAAACAATGAGAATTTAAGAAAAAGAAAAAAAGTGGGGAACGTAAAAAATATTAAAAAAAAGAATAACGAAGAGATTGGTGTAAGTTAGTGTAATAATAATAGTAATAGTAGGGGAACAGAAGGGTAAAATCAGAAGAAATCTTTCAGTTAAGGAAGATACAACCACGTTTTATGGAGAAAGTAAAAGAAGGTTACAGCATGATCGCCACTGGCTTCTATTCTGAGCCATATCTGATAACGTCTCTAGCCACTGTGTCGTACCATCTCTCAGACCCCAACCAGGGAGTCGTGAAGGACCGACACAAGCCAGCCCTTTGCAGCTTTCTTTCATACCACGACACCATGTCATATACTAACCACCTCTCCGCTTTTACCAACCAGTTCCAGAGTCGGCAAATAATGCACGGCGTGGAATTCTCTGGGACGACACTCGTAGAACATGTCCAAGCCACCGAAGTCAGTGTTTCAAGATGGTGACACCAATCGCATTATCATCTCTGTGCCCGAACACACGATGCCGAACCTCTGCATTACTGACATGGTGTTGCCACTGGATGTCAGCAATCCTTCGGAGAAAACGATGATCAAACACAGATAGTCGTCTAACGTCTTCAACTCGGAGAGGCCAGGTTTCACAAGCATAGAGCAAAACTGCTCTCACCGACGCGTTGTAAATCCGACCTTTTACGGCTAGACTAACATCACGAAGGCGCCAAAGATGGCCCAGATTGGCATAAGCCGCTCTGGCTTTCACTATACGTGCATTGATCTCACCACTCACACCCCCACCAGCACTTATGCAGCTACCCAGATACACGAACTTCTCGACTACGTCTATCTGCTCACCATCCAGGGTGAGTACAGGATTGGAATCCTGCCAGTCTTGTAGAAGTACTTTGCACTTCGAAGGTGCAAAGCTCATACCATACTTACGGACACTGATTGCCAACTGATTAAGTGAGGATTGCATGCCTTGGGCATTATCGCAGTCAGATAATATCATCCGCATACTCAAGGTCGAGAAGTCTTTCTCCAGGCAACAGATCCACACCGCCATTAATTAAATCCATCAGAGCTGTTTCCAGAATATCATCGATGGCAAAGTTGAAGAGGAGTGGTGAGATTGGGCAACCCTGCCTAACCCCACTGCTCGAATGGGACAATGGAGAAAGGTGGTTGTATGCACTCACTCTACCCGAGGTGTTTGTATATAGGGCCTCTAGGATGTTAAACAACTTCTCAGGCACACCCTTCTTCAATAGACAATCCCAGTCCTATCCAACGAATCGAAGGCAGTCAAGAAATACTACGATTGTTGGCCTTTGATAAGTATGGCGATGTTCTAACATTTGGCGGAGGGTGAATATATGATCAATACATCTTCGACCAGAACGAAAACCAACCTGCTCCTCGCGAGTCAATCTTTCTCGGGTTTTGAACAACCTACGAAGTATGACGGAAGCCAATAGCTTGGATGCAATCTGAAGTAGACTTATCCCCCGATAGTTGTTACAGGAACGACGTGAACTCTTTTTAAAGATAGGGAAAACTATCGACTCATTTCATGACGTCGGTACACCCTCTATTTTCCAGACCTTTGTAAACAACGTCGTCAGTTCCTTAGTCAGAAAGTCACCACCATCTTTAAAAAGAGCCGGAGGTAAGTCATCTGGGCCAGGTGATTTGTAGCGCTTCACGAGTTGGAGTTCCTTGCGGACTTCCGCCTCATGTGGTGGATCAGTAGTCACCGGCCATGGAGGATAGGACAGTCTGACCGATGTTGCCGGAGCGGCAGGCCAGTTGAACTGCCCTTCGAAAAATTCTGCCCATCGTCCAAGACGTCGATGGATGTTAGTGATTAGCATCCCATCATCCTCGCAGACTGTTTCGCCCACACCAGACTTCTTGCTGCCAGTGGCTCGGATGAGTTGGAAGAGCTTCCGGTAGTTACCAGATGCAGCTGCTGCTTCCAGCTCATTAGCACACTCCGACAACCAGGCTTCTCGGTCCTTACGTAAGCTTTGCCCGATTTCCTTACGTAACATCCTTCGTTTGTGGTCAAACTCACGGTCACCCAGAGTAGACCGACGGGCTTCAATGAGTTGTAAGGAACTTGAAGAAACCCAGTGCTTATAAGCGGGACGTTTCGCGAAGCCGCTTGCGGCTTTACTCGCCATTTTCATGGCGTCATGCAGCTCCAACCAATGCTCATCTATAATTTTCGGTGGGATGGTAGCTAGCCTAGAAGTCAGCTCAATTCGATACTTACTCGCAACAGAAGTTGCAACCAACTTGCTAACATCAATCCTTTGGTGGCGGTCACTTCGTAAACCACTGAAAAATAGGGTAAGATTGGCGCAGACCAAGGCATGGTCACAGTTCAGATAGGTACTCCAAAATGAGCGGCAGTCTTGTACACAACCACACCAGCGATAGCTGATCACGATGTGATCAATCTGAGTCCAGGCTTGGGATGCAGAGGGAGGACGCCAGGTGGCACATCGGCGATGACTGTGCCGAAAGTTAGTGCTAGCCAGAAACAGGTGTTGGTCTGTGCACAGTTGCAGTAGACGGTTCCCGTTATCTGTCCTGCGACCAACAAGTCCCCATAGGCCACCTAAACGACTCTCTTCTGTGCCTAGACGCCTGACCTGAGCATTCAAGTCTCCGGCTAGTTCTACAATATCTGTCGAACGCACTTTCTGGAGAAGAACAGATAATTGGTGGTAAAACTCATCCTTGATTGCATCCGGGCTGCAATCTGTCGGAGCATAGGCGGAGATGACGAAAAGACATTGTTTCTCATGCAGATTTCTTCTCACTTTGATGGAACTCTCTAATCTAACAGCACATAACCGACTGTTAATGGGGATCCAATCGATTAGTGATACCTCAGCTCTAGCGCTTAGTGTGACACCAACGCCAGCAAGACCAGACGAAGATGCCACAGGGTCCCCAGATAAGCGCACGTAAAACAAGCTTTTTGGAGCGACAGATGAAGAACGAATTAGTAGTACTTCACCAGAGTTTTGAATACGGGTCTCGGATAGACAGCAAACATCGATATTAAGACTTTCTAAAGACATAGCCAGCCCTATCTGTTGTCCAACCTGCATAAGTGTGCGAACGTTGAAGGCAGCCAGTTTGAATGGCGCACGTGGTTTCAGAAAAACTGCTTCAGTACTCATCTTCAGTGGAAACATGCAATTTTCAACCGGCCAGTGACTCGAGAACGTTTAGATACAGTCGAATTTCCACCAAAGACGAGCTGCTGTATAAGTCGAAAAAATAAGTATAGACGGAGTAGGAATAAAAGAGGGTGAATAATGATGTAGTAAATGCTCTCACATGGCGACGCGTATACAGCCACTCCCACGGAAGTCCTACTTACTGAACCCTCGCGGCAGTGGTGTTGTTTACGAAATTTAGAAGATGAAAAGCGAATGTCCGATGCTTTAACTGGGTTGGTGGATACGGAGGATCCCTGGTTACAAACCAATGGTGTGCATGGGCTCCAGGATCCTGAGTCAACAAATGGCGTATGAACCCATTGTGGGTCACTGGCTACCACAGGACTTCATCTCCCTACATTACTCCACTGCTTTGTGGAACAGACCTTTAGGTCGAAGGCTCCGGGGGTAACCCATTAAGAAGACGCCCTGCTTCGGTGCGGGCACCCGGGCAGTATCACAGACCACACATGAATCAATTGGTTTTTGCGGTGCATATCTATTCGGTGCCCCTTCGTATCAATGTTTATGTGTCCAAATAAATAAACTTCTGCAGAAACGCTTGCTGCTTTTCGGTAAGTTGTTGTCAGCATTAGTGCGCTAATTTTTTTGTCACAAAATCATTACATATTATATTTTAATATTGAGTTCTTAAGTATCATATTTTTGCTACGGTCCCTATTCTTTCCTGAATTCCATCGTTTATAGAGAACTGTTGTTGAAGCGTTGTACGTCAGTGATAGTATTATCGAGTTCATATAAATTCCGGTCGTATTAGATAAATCTCAATCATTCGTAATTAGGAAATAATTGTGTGCCCAATTCATAAGCGTTCCCAGAAATCTAACAGATCCCACCTTGATTTCATTAATGGTCAATCGTTGATGAAAGAATTACACAAATTAAAGAAACTCCCGGTAAAATTTTATACTGTTTATTCCAAGTTGAAAGTTAAAGTGTCTAGACGTAGCTTGCACATATTGGCAAATGAAACACAGATTGATGCTTGATTATCATATTTTATCTTCAGATAAATGTAATCATATGAAAATTTCTAACAAAAATAACAATTTTAATTGATGAAATATAAGTCAACAGTTAAGTAATTATAATAAGATAATAACAGAAATAATAATAATAACTACTTGTAAATGTGCGAGGATGGCAAACGAAGTGAGACTTCCAGTCTGGGTAAAGTTCGTATATACCGTATAAATAGCCTAATACACAAAAGTAAATATTGTGTTAAAACTGAAAATGAGTAAAATGAAAAAAATAACAAGTAACAAATTATGATAAAAAAAAAGATGGGTTTGTAGCCAGCAGTGGAAACCAAAAAGCGCGTTTCGGACTAACTGGGACTAATCAACTAGATATATGTGCATACCAACGCTGGATCATACTCCTTGAATAACACCTTCAAATCCTAATCTTTCCGATTACTGTTTATACTCTTACTAACTCTACCACTACGGGATTTGAATCGATAACTGGGTCTCTATGCTAATATGGTATGGCAACTCAAAGTGATGTACGTACGTACGAAGTTCTACGTTGTTACTGACTGACTGATACTAGCGCTAATGTTCACACCGCGACTCGAATTCAGTGCTTGTGTCTTCAAATGCTCAAGGCGTTATCTACCTAGCTTTTGAGTCCATATGGTCACTAACTTGTCCCGGTGAGAATATCAATACTGAAATGTAGGCATATCCAGGTGACAAATCTCAATTAGAACGAAGGGTACATTCAGGATTCCATCGCTAGCCACAATCCAACATTTCTTTGAAATCTTCGTAATCTGATCGCAATATCAAGGAGATCTACCCAAGATGCACACACCCGAAGAGATTAATCAACTGAAATTCTTAACATCAAAAATGGAAAAATCCACACCATTACAACTGAATTGGAAGAAAGTGTGGTTTCTGGGTTTTTTTTCCTAATAATTTTATGAAAATGGGGGGATGGTATAATATATTATTTAGGAGTTTTGAGAATGATTAGGTGGAAAAAATTAAAAATAATACTCAACTTTACGTACATTTACGAAACTGTATATGTGATCGAATTTTTTTATTTTAATTTTTGTGGGGAATCGTTTAGGGCTTGAAAAAGAGAAATAATTACATAGAATATTTATCAGTATAGGGTTGTGAAGATTGTCCCGGGCTTTCAATGGTGATCTAACATTGATCCATTCACGATATCAACTAAAAATAATATTTTATTACAAATAATTCATGTTTTGGAGCAATCATATTTCCTAGTGTTACGTTAGAACAAAACCAAAAATCTACAGACAGTTAATCAATCATTATATACTCAACTATACGATATTCTATACAAATTCAAGTGGCAATAGATTTTACTGAGGGTTTTTGATTGAAATTCTTAAGTGTCAAATATTGCCTTGAGGTGTACTCTACTTATTTGGCAGTTTACTATGATTCCCTAGATCATTTCAACAGCAAGAAATTTACAACATCTCTGAATAGAAAGTTTCTTGTGAAAAGACATGATATACATTTTTTACAAAGGTATAATCATTATTATGTATAAATTATCTAGTAAAGCCTTAGTGAGAGTTAGCTGAAAGCTACTGGAGGTCAAGCGGAAAATTGGTGTCAGACTGTTGGTCTAACTAATATCGATAGACACACACTACCGAGTTGGGGTCTACATCATAACCACGATCAATGGCTGGAGACGTCTAATGAAATGGTTCAGTCACAGCGCTGCAGATGCATTCGTATACTCCGGATCCTGAGTTTCAGTACACATTTTCACTGTCCATTCGAAACACATTCCCAATCAAAAGTCTGCCTCATTATCATAGCCACAATATTATTCTGACCTATTTGGCCTTTCATTTGGTTAACTTCATCTCATGGGGCTATAAATGTATGAAAATTTGATCCGATCCACATTAGTCTCAGGCTCTACGTTAGTTACGACCAACAGACTACTAAAGTGTCTGTTAACTTCTTATTTCAGATGAATATCGCACAATAAAACAAATCTATATCTCAGTAACGGAGGATAATAATATTATTACAGTCAAATTAACAGTTCAATCAATATGTCAAAACAACGAAACAATAAATTTTACAAAAATTTACCGATAACTTTGAATACTTAGCAAACTAGCTATCCAATCCGCTTTTTCTTCGGGTGTTCGTAAAAATATTCGAATATGATTAACATTGATACTAGATGATAAATTAGTGAAGGTGAATTTTTCAGAAGCACTATTTGATGAAGAAAGACTATTCAGAGTTGAATTTCCTTCGTTACAACCATTGATAGAAGTGGTAGTGGTAGTAATAGTAGTAGTAGTGGCAGTAGTTACTTCTTCATTGTAGTTTATTCTTCCAATGGATGATTTTTGTGAACCAGGATGACACATATAGTGATGATGATGACGATTATAGGAATGATTTAACGATTTCTGCAGCGTTGTGGGACTACATGAACTCGAATCAACATATTCTAATTCGAAAAGAAATGGAAATGCACTGATTCCTCCTGAGCCACTAGAGCTAGCTAAACTTGGATGACTTGAAATAGATCCATTAAAATTTGACGAGAAAAAACCTTTAGGAAGAATCCATAAGTTTAAAAATAATAATAAACAGACTTAGTGCTAAAGTACAAAGTGCCTTCACAAAATGTGAAAGCCATAAATTAAATACATTATTTGTAAATCTTCCTTCAGTTGTCCTTTACACGCTTCCTGATTCTTCAAATTATGTTGTTACTATGATCGCTCTGTTTCCCTTCCTGCTCTTTTAAAATTCAGTCGTCTGGTGACAGGTATGCCACATCCTATTGTCGTTACATACTACTTATATCATTCAGCATAAATAGCATACACCACAGTAACATCTCAGACCATGGAGCTCGATCGCTTAAGCTACACGGAGAATAAATTCGTTGAAGATAACCCTTACTGACGAGGGTTTCCTGTCGACTACTTCTAACCACCAAACACCTCGATTCATACAATTTCAAATCAATCAGACTAGAAGTCATGTTGCAAATTGGTTGACAGAACACCGTCAACACTAAGGGATTAGACATGAGGTCAACAACCACTCAGTAATCAATCTGCTGTGGATAGTTACAATGAAAGCTGATACATCTGCTATTCTGACGCTAGATATGGACTTCGTAGCCGCTCTCTTCATCCCCAGACTTCGTTTGTAATTGAGCTCCCAACAGTAGAGAAAAGGGCAGAAGTAACAAAGCTTTATTTTAAAGTCCATTAATGTACAGAAAACCAGTAGTTATAAGTTTATTGGTAACCTCTGATATATGGCAACTTCTAGAAGCATACTAAATTTAGGCATAGAATTAGTATTTAGCCAATCAGTCAAACTCGTCAAATTTCTAAACACATTTTTCGCGTATTCCGACTAGACGAAACGTTCACAATTCTTAACTGCATTTTGAAGACCTTAACGAGGAATTCCAGTGGATTCCTAACAGAAGCTTGAATATATTTTAGAGATGATTTTCACTATAGATTGGAATCGACTAACCGAGCATACTTTCAGCATGAAGAGAACAGTGAGAAACATTTTATACTACATTGAGACTATGTTCGATCATCGTTTTCTCCGAAGGATTGCTGACATCCAGTGGCAACACCATGTTAGTAATGCAGAGGTTCGGCATCGTGTGTTCGGGCACAGAGATGATAATGCAATTGGTGTCACCATCTTGAAACACTGACTTCGGTGGCTTGGACATGTTCTACGAGTGTCGTCCCAGAGAATTCCACGCCGTGCATTATTTGCCGACTCTGGAACTGGTTGGTAAAAGCGGAGAGGTGGTTAGTATATGACATGGTGTCGTGGTATGAAAGAAAGCTGCAAAGGGCTGGCTTGTGTCGGTCCTTCACGACTCCCTGGTTGGGGTCTGAGAGATGGTACGACACAGTGGCTAGAGACGTTATCAGATATGGCTCAGAATAGAAGCCAGTGGCGATTATGCTGTAACCTTCTTTTACTTTCTCCATAAAACGTGGTTGTATCTTCCTTAACTGAAAGATTTCTTCTGATTTTACCCTTCTGTTCCCCTACTATTACTATTATTATTACACTAACTTACACCAATCTCTTCGTTATTCTTTTTTTAATATTTTTTACGTTCCCCACTTTTTTTCTTTTTCTTAAATTCTCATTGTTTTGTGTGGCGCATATATATTTGGCGCACTCCTGTACCAATATATATGTGTTCAAATAAATAAATAAACATTGAGACAAAGAATGTAATTTTTTACAAGAATTTACAAAGAAAAAGCAGGTAAAGATGTTAGGACTACCAAAAAAACAAGATGAATGATTTTATTCTAGTAACCGACAATTCAAAAATCTCCATGTGATAAGAGCTGGAAAAGTTCATTTTTCTTTACAACAAAAAATCATAGTAATAGCGCGACTATTATACGATTAACATTAAACTCTTTGTCAACTTCCACATTTTAGTACAATATTCATCATTTAGTATAATTACACCAACCCTTGACCTTTAGAACATTTCATTGTGCCGGTTTTGGTTCAGGTAGTAAAGTTTACACACTCAGTTTTAAAACATTACACCAAGTTATGTCTTATCATTCAATAGAAAACAATAAAAGAACACAATCAAACTTTTGACGACTAATATCAATTTAACCTCATTTCTCCTTAATTTCCATAATTTACCGCTTTTTATGTTTATTTATTCATTGGATGATGATTTTTTACCTTGTATTGTCATCATAGTTTGACTATTTATTTCACTTTATTATTGATTAACTCAGCTAGGCTCAGATATTTCTGATTATTATCACAATCAAATGAGTTTTCTTTAAGATAGTTAATTTAGCAAAAACAAAGCTATTAAGGTTAATGAATACAAAAATATACTATCACTCTGCATCAAAGAACTGAGTTGGTAACTTATACTTTATGAAGAGCACAGTAACAAGGCAGTAACTAAGGTAGGCTTCATTGTTTTTGTCAGTTGTTTACACCCAGACAATAGATATTTTATTACAACCTAGGAATCCAGTATGGTAGAAAATTATATAGATTTCGATATTAGAATGATAAATGTAACTCATTGATTTTACAGTTACTTAACATGGAAGACAGGATGGTACTCAGATGGTTCGTGGAGTTCCGCAGCTGCGTTAAAACTAACATATCTTTCATTTAGCTCTAAAATCTACAAATGATATTAAATGTAATAAGTATAACCACATTAGAAACACAGAATCTATGTAAGCATTAGCATTACGAGCACGAAAATCCCAAACACAAGTCTGTCAAATTAGCAAAAACAGAAATATCCATTAACGAAGAATAAAATTTGCGGCGACAACACCAATCGAACAATGAATGGTTATAGTGATCTGGTTACAAAATGAGGCTTTTTGATAGGTTGAGTGATCTATATTTTTATTACCATGACAAAGGTGAATACAGCCAAAATACATCGGAAGTAATTTCTATATGAAGATGGAATCTAGTACTATACCAAGCTCACATAATTTATTCCGGCTTCCGGACAGATCAATTTAATTTTCTTGAGTTAAATCTTGGCCTTAACAGTTACTTGCTTATCAACCTTGATGTTTTTATACGAGCGTGTGTCCATCGCTTACCTTATTCATCAAAAGTCTTCAGCTTTTTTCATCTGGCAACAAATATTAAGCCACGCTTTGTCAAACTGAGTTGGCACGGTTACCACCTCCGGTTAGCTTTCCTGCTTATTATTTTTTGTCTGTCTGAATAAAAGAGTGCTTGAAATGAATTCATTCAACTTAGACCGTATATGGCTTTTTATTACCATCTTTGCACAAATGGGGTTAGCCTGGGTGTAATATATGAAGTTAAATAAAAGATTTACAGTCATGGCACTGTTGGGATATTCAGAAAAATATCCCAAAAATTATTCTGTTAAGCCTAACGCTATCCTATGACTTGAGATGGCGTCATTTCCTCATTGGTCAGTGTTTATTTCACGTGTCATTTTCCTACTGGTCAATATTGTACAATGTTATTTTCTATTTTATGGTACGATGTGGTATGCTTGATTGGTATATAAGCAGTGTGTTTGAAATATAACGATTCATATATCCGAGGCTGAGACTTGCGTTCTGGACTCAACTGGCTGGGCTAGACAGGGAAGTAGGACCAATCAGAACTCTAGGTCGTTCTAGGTGTTTGCGCGTCTTTGGTCCGATCAATAATTCGCTGTCCCCTGATCTGCCGTCACAGTTATAGCAGGCACATACATTCATTCTTTCAAATTGGAGTCGGATTAACGGGCCACAAAACTGTCAAACCGATTCAGTAATCTTGTGTAAATTTAATTTTACTATAATGCTAGCTTTAAAGTTAACTACTTCCATTTTCTCTGATATAAATAACACTAATGTTGTAGTGAAGCAAAGAGTTGAAAAGATGAGGATCATCATGTACTAAGACTAAGCGAAATTGGTGAAGATTTGTGGCTCAAGTGGATGAGTTTGGTGGAGTTTTGTTCTCTGAGCTGGATGGTTTGGTCGTATAGTTCTACCCGAAGTTTGTGATGTCATTAAGAATAACGACGACAGCTTAATGTTCACCATTGAAAGATAACCAATTGCATAAATGTAGTCTTGATCGACAAAATAATAAAAATTAGAACATTAAAATGAAATGTGAACAACCTCAGAGATGACTAGGTTTTGCAATTATTCAATAATCTGTTTGTAGTGGCTGGCCCTACGTTAAGCCCACATAACTTATTCTAGCTTACAGACAGGCCAATTTATTTATTCTTCTTGAGTCACACTTTGACCTTTTTAATTATTCGCTTGTCAACCTGGACTTTTTTTATGTAAGCGCATGTGTGTACACTTCTTATCCTGTTCACTTATTTTTATCTGACTATAAATATCGATTAACGCTTGACTAAATCGAGTTGGCTTACACACCTCCGCTGCGCGTCATTTCGCTTCCTTCTCTTTCTCTTTACTTCCTTTGCTTCGTCCCTCTCATTGCCCATCCAGACCAATGAGTGTACAAAATATACGTATTCTCGTATTTGACTTATTTTTAATTCCGTTATTCACTAACGCGACACTGGTCGATGATAATATAGGAGGATTGGCGACTTATATATTTCGAGTGCTGTTAGAGGTATGAGGGCGGTTATCACTTCCCGGATGCCCACACCGTGGAAGGGTTCTTCTGGAGGTACCTGAAAAGGAAATCGGATTAGAGGTAGTCTCAGTGACCTGAGAGCGTGACCGCAGTGCCCAAGGGACAACTGCTTGAGGTCCGTCACACACGACCTTTTTATCGGTAATTTTTGTGTTAGCTCCGTACTTGTTGAGACCTTACCGCCGGAGACGGGTATCTGTGAGATGAAGCGAGGTGTGCATTTTTAGGGTCGACCTTTTCTAACCCCACCCCTCCTTGTGGGAAGGCAGCATCGCTGTCATGCTGGTTGTCTGAAGGAAACACCTTACTGCTGTCACACCTCTGTACAGTCAGCAGTACGACTTCGCCTTCGGACCTTGGGTTTGTTGCTTTTAGTCTTACCGCTCTTCAACTGACCTGTCTGACATGGTAGGACTTTGAGGAACAGTTGTTCCAGCCAGTATAGCTCGGTTGTTTCATCACGATAGGCAAGCCCGATCACCGCGTCAAGGTAGCAGCAACGGTCGGAATGGTTGGAAGAAGGTTAGGGGCGGCTAAACCAAAACGTGTCATCAGTGCTTGAAGTCACTAACTTCTAGTCTGAGCCATGTTGCTAGATGCAGACTACTTGGTTGGGGTCCGCGTGACTATCGTAACCAATGGTTGGAGACTCTTGGTGGCATGGCTGAGAATCGATCACAATGGTGTCGGTGTATACACTTTCTGTCTTCCCTTAAACTAAGAGATTAAAATTGCTTCATATCATTCTTTCTACGAACTAATTATTTCTTCCTGTACTATATATTTATTGAAATCTTTCTTTTATATATTACCACCTCTGAATTAACTACTTTTATGAATCCGGTGTTCATCTTGTTGTGTTAATGAGGTATGGCAACTTGGACTGGTGCATATATGTGCCTGGTCCTACGTTGTAGCTGACTGACTTATATATTTCGACAGCAATCATTTAATAACAATCATTCATACGATCCAACTGTAGTCAGATTCAGGGCCATAAAATGTTACAATAAACAGTTTCATCAAGCTTTTGAATAAATGAGAAATATCTATACAAAACTACTTTTTTCATGAGACAATAAAAAACCTGATTGAAATCATACACAAACCTTTCATTCACTAAAAATTTGAAAGTAGAAAATCAAAATGACGTCTTCATTATCAGATAACAAGAAACAAATAAATGGACATGGTAAAATCTTACCTGATGCTGATAGCCCAGTAGCTGACGGTTCTTCATGTGGGTTCATATTAGATGCAGTATTATTATTAATATTATGCGAATAACTATTATTTGAAGATGTCGCAGCTAGAACAGCAGCGCCAACTAAAGACGGTGTCATTGGACCACTATGACCAACATAACCAATTAAATTTGGTTGAACTATTGGAGGCAAATCAGTAACATGAATTAAATCAAGTGGTATACGATGTTTAATACGTAAAATAGACTGCTGCATGGAATTTGGATTTAATGGAGTTGAACGACGTTCTTGCCATTTACAAATTAATAAGAGACCAGTAAATAAATAGGCGATATATTCACTGGATGATTTTTTCGAATCAGTAGTACGTAAATGTACACGACTTTCTGAAATGAAAAAAATGGAAATTATAATAAAAACGTTGTCACCGCACTAGAATTCCTACTACTTAAAATATTTCACTTTAGAAATAAAAAAGAAAAGATTTATACTGTGCACAAAAATAGAAGACAGTGGTAGTATACTTTGTTTAGTTAAACTGAAATTTAATGTATCAGTGTTTCCTATGATTAAGGGTTAACCTTAACTATAACTAGATTACGGGTAAAAAAAGTAACCCATTTCCTAATGTTTGTACTCGGATTTATGCTGTGTTTTCAGACTGAGGGCTACTGATTAAAGTACCCAAACACCAAATAAGGTGAAATTCAAACTTGAAACTTAGCAGTTGGAAGATTATATATTTAAACCACAAACCAGCTTCCATCTGATGAAGAAATTAAGAAAAGACGATGGAAGTGTATAGGACATACATTGAGGAAGTCACCAAACTGTATCATGAGGCAAGTCCTAATTTAGGATCTTGAAGAGAATCGAAAAAGAGGAAGGCCAAAAAATACACTGCATCGGGAATTGGAAGCAGACATGAGAAGGATGAACGGGAATTAGAAAGGACTTTCCAGGACAGAGTTGGATGGAGAATGCTGGTGAGCGACCTGTGCTCCTACATGAGAGGTAACAGGTGTAAGTAAGCAATAGTGTAAACCATGTTATGTATTTGACTATATATGAGAAACATATTACAGTTAGACTGGTGCAGCTGTTAGCAATACTTACTTACTTACGCCTGTTACTCCTCGTGAAGGAGCATAGGCCGCTCACCAGCATTCTCCATCCAACCCTGTCCTGTGCAATCCTTTCTAGCTCCGTCCAGTTGTAATTCATCCTTTTCATATCTGCTTCTATTATCCGACGTAATGTGTTCTTTGGCCTTCCTCTTTTTCGCTTCCCTTCAGGTACAACTCAAACAAGTAATCAATCTCATGCTAAGAATAATCATCCGCTTATTACCAATGAAGGAAAAATCCCAGAATCCTATTAAGAAGCTGTGACCAGTGGAGTCCAACTATGCTAAATGATAAATAGGTGTCACCGATGGTGAAGGATCGTATAGTTCCAGCATTGAAAACTAAATTCTAAACCATTAGGCGTTGAATAAGTGGTATTTATAAGAAAATAATATATCCTTATATATCAATGAATAAAAAATTGAAATTAAAAAGTAACTGAATAAAATTTAATATCAGATTAAATGGCACAGAGGAACAGATCGAAATACATTTAATATAACAAAACAAGGGTTTCTCTGTAATGTTTAAACTTGTGATAATTTTAATCCGTTTACCTATTTATTTACTCTGAAAAGGTAACTTACAAGAGGTCGCAAAACGTCGCAGATTCAATTTCCAACTTATTAGGATATTACGGAAATACATTTCACCATTACAAGCAATTCACCTCAAGTTCATTTCACTTGAAATTATCAAATCAAACCTCGATCATAATGCAAAATTAATGGTCCGAAAGTCAAGCTTTCCACGAGCCCTGAAAGTCCTAAGTCTCATCCCTAGTGGAGTCGTGCATAAGCGCTGCTGAAAAGTCACTTATGATGACGAAACAGATGTCTGGTGCATTTTAGTTTTCAGTGGATATCTCACCTAGGTAAACTTGTAATGTTAAGAGTATAATTTTGTAGAATGAATGTGAATTGAGTCATACTGGAAGAAATATAACAGAATATTACCATTTTAAATTAAACTACTTACCCATTACAAAATCACCAAGTGTGTTAATATAATTACTTGACATAATTAACTTATCTTTACTACTTAAGAGTTTTTCAATTTCCTCGGCTTTATTTTGAACAGTATTGCTATATGTGAATGATAGATCAGCAGGATTAATCGATACTGGTGTTGTCGTTATCGCTGTTGTTGGCACAGAATGATGAGTATTATGATAATTGAATATATTACTAGACGAAGCATTACAATTTGTATTGAACATAGAAGCACATGAGACATGACTCCCAATTTGATTTGAAAGACTAACAGGTGATGGTGGAGCCGTATAGTTCACAGGACTTGGTGGACAAGAAGCACCAGAAACAGCATTCAAATATAATGAACGATAACGGTCAGTCAACTGACCAGTTGATATCAATCGTACTAAATGCAAAGCAACCCATGGATGTTTAGCTAAATCTCGTTCTAGTGTTGCCCGTGTCTTCCTCAGCATACTAAGCACATCTTCTAAACGTGCCCGCTCAACTTCATCATAAGCACACCGATGTAACGTCTGAGAAAAGATAACGCAGAAAATTGGTTGAAAGTCATTTCAGTTTTAAGAATGAAATTTGATGACAATCAGTTAGAATGGGAGTTGTGGAGATTGTTGAATGTTGTTGAGATCAAGAACCGAAAACAATGGAAGATGGTCGTGCGATGTTGTGCGTAAATTCAAGCTAAAATTGTAAACTACTGGATCGCAGTTTGTCAACCTAGAGGAAAGCGTGCTGGTACACGACGCTGAGGCTCCTGATTTCGACCCCCTATAGAAAAGTTGTGAGTGCTCACTACTGAGGAGCCATATACTAAAACAAGACAGTCTTCCAGTGCTTTCAGTTTCTCAATCGTTATCAGATACTGATCTCAATAAAACTAAACAATGAATTATTGATAACAAATTTGCGAAAAAGCAGTTCGAACGAGGAACACATTTCATTGGATTGATCTACTTGAGCAAAAGTATTTCTAATCACATGTTATTGTTAGATTAAAAACACATTTCAAGTATCGGACAGAAATGTTACAGTCATTTTAATATTATTAAAACTATGTATTCATTGGTTATTTCAAATTCGAGCTCATGAAATTTACAGTGTTTAACATGTTGATATTGTAAACACTATAGCAACTATCCTACAATCAATTTCGATTATGGTTAATTTTGGTTAAGCCCTTTTATTAACATACTTAACAGACAATGTTATTAGAACAATAACAATTCATGTATTTCTTTGTACCGTAATGATCACTAGATCACTTAAGACTCTAGCTAAAATGTTGATCGCTTCAATACTACTCGATGGTTCATCCTCCTCCGCAAGTGTATATGTACTCATATCTTATTATCATCTTTTGCTTTGCCTTGCTGTGCCCTTATGCCATTTGACTAGAAATTTGCCTATGTATTTGCTCACACACATATATTCGCCCATCCGCTTCAAATTCGCTTGATGTGCTCATAGCTTTGTGGCCTGTGCTATCCGCCAATAAACTGTAGTGGCTGCTTCTTGTTGCCTTCTGATATCAAACACTATTGAGATTTATATTATAGCGGTTACCAAGGCGACTGCTTAACGAGGTAAAACTACTACAACACTTCTTGTAACTTGACAGATTTACAAATCTAGAGCACTCGACTAAATAATAAAAGGAGTGGATATACAACGAAAGCTATGCTTTCAAGGTTACTTTCTTTAATGTAATTGAGGGTTATCGATAAGATTATGAGAGAACTTGGAGTCCTAAAATTTTGCAGAGAAACAGATAAAATTAGACAAGCTAGATGATGAAAGAATTCAAATACATAATTTCGTAGAAATTCCATACAATTGGTTCCCATTACTTATGCGATATATATATATATATATATATATATATATATATATATATATATATATATATATATATATCATCTCAAAGTTATTCATAAGTTTTATTCACTTTATCTTACCTCGATTAATTCATGAAAATAAAAAAAATGAAATATTGGCAGTAGAATTATTCGTGGAAGTAAGTATCTTGTAGCATTTACTAAATAGTTACAATTAATTGCATAAGATGTAGTATTCATTCCTAATAAATGAGGTGAACGATGGTGATGACGATTTAATGGCATTTTCGATGTCAAATCAAATTTATCTGCTGAATCTACAGAAGTGGACATGGTATTTTTATTATGTACATTGAATGAATTATTGTCATTGTTTAAAGGGGTAACAGTTGTTGAAGTGGATCTTCTGCGCGGTTTAGTAACAACTGTATCCCAGTGCTGACAGTGCAAACATGTAAATGAATGAAAGTCAGTCACTGGTGTTGTTGTTGCTGTTGTTGAAGATGAAAAGAAATTATATCCAGGGTACTAAAAAAGAAATGAATGAAAACAATCTTTATTATAGATATAAATATGAGAAATCATATTATACTTCATTAACTATTTAATTTAGAGTGAAACTATTAAGTTCCCTAAACTGTTAAAAATAAACCTAAATAATTGAGATGGTTCTCATCCATCCAGCTCAGAGAACAAAACTCCACCAAAATCATACACCTGAGCTACAAATCTTTTCCACCATCTCATCTCTGTGTTTATTTGCATTTGGCAAACATATTACTCAATGTAATTTTGAATAGTACTTGAATTATTTATTTTAAAATGGATGTATTTAAGGATATTTCTTACAAATCTATGTATCGGTGTATATGATAGATATGTCGGAATTCTATATATTAATGTTTATCAAACAAAACAGAATTTATTCTCAATGAAACAATTGGTTAAGTCTGAACTTTTATTAATTAGAAAATGTTTTATGGATACGCTACAAATAATATAGTTAATCCAAATATACGGAAAAAATCCTGATGTTCAATGAAACACCTCAGCCAGTTCATACTAGTTAGAAATGTGTACCTATAGATGAAACTTCAAAGTCCAAATGGTAAGGTAAACAGGACAGAATACTGAACATTTAACCTTAAGGGTCTGAACTGATGTTAAAAGTCTTGACAATTCATTTATCAAATGAAGATTCACGTGCTTAGCTTTGAGCCAAACTTTAAATGTGAGGGCTAGTGATACTAACCAGTTGCTTAAATCAAAATAGATAGAGAAGGCCTAGAACCTAGAACCTAATAACTGAAAGTAGAATGTATTAACCACTGAGCCGGCGCCTCCACATCATTAACATTAATAAATACACTCTACAACAGGGTTATTTAACATTGATTATCATGAGGACCAGACATCATCCACGTTCATTACAACCTGGATAGCATAGCTCAATCCTGTGGCGCATCCAAGAGCCTTGTAGGCGATAGATAAAAATTCAACAAACCCAAAATGCTGTTGATGTGAACAAAGAAAAAAAAACCTTGACAAACTACGGAAGCTATTTTTGGGGACGTTATTTCATTTAATTCAAAGCTCGCAAAACAGTAACATTTGTCCCTAGTTTATTCTATAGAGCATAAGCGTCACTGCCATAGCCTTTTCTGTTCAAAGCTATTGTAAATTAAATGTCATCTATTGTAATCTATTTTCTACCCTAATCCCCAGTTTTGGACGTAATTGTTTTCCCAATTGTTGAATGTTTTGGTCTGGTTGGTCATCTATTTATTAATGTACCATTATACATTAATCTGAACCAGGAAACAGATTGGAGTTGACCATAAATCGAGTAATGTTTCGGCTGACTTCCCTCTCTCTCTCTCTCATGCTTGTCGGACAATCAGGTGATAGTTTTCGTCTCTCTACCCCAAGTAGTTAGTCTCACTTCGAACTCACGCATAATAGCCTCAAGGTTAAGCCAGTCAACCTATCGCGTCAAGGTCTTAGTGTAGATTTAGACAAGTTATCGTCTGCATAGTAGTCGATAAACAGATCAAGGACGTAAAAAGTTTGTTTCAATTTTGTAAACTGCGTCTACAGTGCAAGCCAAACATTTACTTGTCAAGCAAAGAAAGAGTATACTGCACATTACGCTTTTTATTTCGTACGGCTGTGAAACAGTCTCCGAAATTCAGGGTATGTGCAGGTTGTTAATATCTCACCATAAATGTCTTCAAATTATTTCTCCTACAAGATGAAAACACCGAGTGAATAAAACTTAAAAACTAAGGTTGATATGAATGTGTTATCCACTCTCTGCTATCATCTACACAGATGCGGTATCCTTAATTATTCTTCCTGAGCTTTATGATCTAACTTTCCACCGTAATTTATACAATCATTTCAATATCATTGGTTTCAGTTTTGTCACGTTTCGCACTTTTGTGCCAGGTTCGATGTTGACTGACTGATTTTACTCACACACACTACCATACACATCGTACATAAATCAACACTTTCTTCAAAAAGACGTAAAACAAACTTACTTTGTTATTCAACGAAGCTGTGTGCACAATAGTTCGACTTAATTGACATAATTCCTGTGCATAACTTTCATGTTCAATTAAATTCCAAACACGATCTCTTGAGTTAGAATCTAGTACAATATTAGCATATCGACTGAATGCATGCAATGAATCATCTTCAGCCAATTCAATTAAACATATACCAACTAGACGTCTAGGATAAGTTTTATTCTTATTATTATTACTACTACCACTACCGCTATTATCATGATTGTTGATCGATGAATTTGGTTTATTATGGTGAGGATAACGATCGTCATGATCATCATTTGAGAATGTATGATCAGTTGAAGTGGGTGAATGAAATGTTGATCCTGATGAATTATTACTGATATTTCCATTAGTGCACTCGTTATTGTGTTTAATATTGTTCTTCATTTCATTTCTATTATCATCACTACATAATTGTTTTTCTGGTATTGATTCAAGTGTAGTAAGTGTTTCAGACAATGAATCCATTAACGTCGTTTTATCATTTCCGTTAGTAATAAGAGTACTATTATTAGAAGTATTCAGTGGTTTAACAATATTCAACATTTCCGATGACGGCGTTGTTGATGTTAACAATGTACAACTATTCTTAGATTTTACAATATTTGGTGAATAATTATCTTCATCTTCGGCTTCAATAGTATCCAATAAAATACGCATATTATTATACACATCTAATATGTTACCAAATAATACTTGTGTATTATCTTCATTGGTATGTGTACACATTGTTGTTTGTTGTTCATAAGATGTTCCTGTTGTTGATGACGATGGATTCACTGATAATATCGGTTCACGAAATACACGTATCAATAAATTCATTTGTTCTAAGCACGTATGCAGAAAACTACATAATTCATCAACACACCTGAAAAAAAGGAAATTTAAAAATCACTAAACAAATAATAAAAGATATTCATATATTTATGGATATATTATTTATAATTTTATTTGAACATATAGATATTGGTACGCGGAGGCACCAGATACATATGCGACACACAAATCTCATTTAATTTGTGTGAGGGTTGTGATACTGCCCGGGTGCCCAAACCGGAGCAGGTGGTTTTCTTAGGGGACCACACCCGGAGCCTTCGACCTGAAGGTCTGATCCACAAGGCAGTGGAACAACGTGAGGAGATGCAGTCCCATGATAGCCAGTGACCAACGATTAGTTCATACGCCATTTGTTCACTCAGGATACTGGAGCCCATGTGCACCATTGGTTTGGAATCAGGGTTTTCCAACTCACCTAGGTGGACTCACCATGTCCACCAACCCGGTTAAAGCGCCGGACGTTCGCTTTTCGTCCTCTCAATATCGTAAACAACCCCCCGCCACGAGAAGGCAGTGAGTAGGACTTCCCTGGCAGAGGCTATATACGCGTGGCCATGTGAGAGCATTTCGAGAGGGTGAGAGGACTCTCCTCACTCTCGGCTGCACCAGGGCATTTGGGGGCATTTATGGATATAACGAATTATGTAACTAAGTAACGATGCGCATACACGGTTTCAAGTTATATTTCTGTATAAAATCCAGCAGTGTCTGTTACAAACCACGGAAACAGAAAGCGATGTATCAAAATAATCTAAAAATATGTGTGCTATAACCTCGAAAAAATAAACCGATTTTGTATTATTTAATCTTGTCTCTGAGTGTGATTACGTTACTTATTGTAGCAAGAGATAATTATCAGGTTCATTTATTCCGCCTGTAAGAGAAATAACCTAATTTACTAATAACGCATTAACCAAATAAATAACGACTGAAATTTTGATGCCTACTGGTCCTCAAGCTTGTTCCAACACAAAGTATAATCAGAAGAATAGGTTAGAAAGCTTTATTGTTAGGCAGTTGATTATATAACTCAAAGAATGTAGCGTAATTTCCTGACCATAACACATCAACATAAATAGGAAACTACAATGTGTGTAAAACATTAGCTGTAAATGTAACTGAACTAAATAATGGGTTTATAATTAACTAACAATAACTTGAGAAAGGTAAAACTGACAACAGTAATTTATGCGCTAAACTAAAGTTTACAATTAAGGGAATATAATGATACAATAATAGAAATGTTTAGTAACTGCATAATAAATATATAAACAATAATTTTTCATCAGATAGTTTCAAAAGTTACAGCTTTATCAATATTGGCTCCGTTAGAATAGTGTGTTGTAAAAACAACCCTCAGTAACCACTAAACTTTATCATCAAATAGCTTTTAAATTAAATCTTTTCGTGAGAACGAACTGTATTTTACACAGTCGTTACAATCAAAGCTGAATTTGAAAAAGCAACTTTAAAATTGAAAAATGTAATACCTCAAAACTGATTTAGTCATTATATCATAAAAAGTTTGTTTTATAAAATAATTAATCGAAACAGAACAGAACCTTATAATAAGTCAACTAAAACATTCAATGTTTTATACCTATTTCTGAAAATGAACGAATAATGATGTAATCACGAAAAAAATACTCTTAAACAATTAATTACCAACTGAATTGATTTTATAAAAACATATGGCTAAAGAGATATTTTAACAACTACAATTCTAAGTTAAATTTAGCAATTAATTAGCAAGTGAGAATAAACTGAAACCCTTCTATTGTCATATATGAAGATTTATGATGTATACACATGAAACTGTTAGATTATTCAAATGAAGAGTAAGACAAAATATGCATAACAATTGATCAAAGCAATATCTGGGAACATTTTGTTTACAAATTTTCATTGAATCCAATATATCAATAATTAATTATCCACTTCAGGAGTAACACTTTTTGAGTTAATAACATTATCCAAATGTGCAAACTGAAGTAGATTGAGTAGTTTATTATAGTTAAAAGTTGATTGTTTTAATATTTAAGCCATCAACTTCTATTTGAGAACAGGAAATATATGATTTATATGCACAGTGTAGAAGAAAATGTACAGACTAATTAACTTAATTAGATTCTTTGATAGTAAGCTGTTACTTGATTCTGAAGCATGGAAATTCCAAGTTTAATTTAAACAACAGGTACTTAACTTATTATTTTAAACAGCTGACTTCTGACAAAAAAGAACAGCGAAACTATTTGCAACAATTGTTGCATAATTTAAACGTTAGTGCATTATTCACATTTAAAATATTTAGTTTTTGCAATCCATACAACCTTTCTCATTATTTAAAAGGCAAGGTTTATAAAGCTCGTACGAATACATAACTGTTCAAATGATGTAACTCATATCTTGATGTAGATAATGGACACCATTTGCAATGACATGTCCATCTTGACTATAATAACCTTTAACCGAAACATTTAAATACTTGATTAGCAAACATCGTTTCACAAGTCTGACTACAAATCAACTGAATCTGTTTAGACAACCAGATAATGTTGATCTGCATCAAATAAATTAAACACATCGTTTTTTTTAGAAAAACTGAGCTGTATGTAATCGAGAAAGTATACAACATTAGTCCGGACACTTGTAGAGATTGTTGAATCCTATGGCTTACATTACGAATTGACTATTGACAATCAGGAAGGACTGAACAGTTACTTCGCTCTAGTACGGAACTCCTCAACAGTGTATATCCACGACCCCACCGTGGATAGAACTCAGGGTCCTTAGATCTAGCAATGAGCAATTACCGTAAAGACCGCTAAGCTAACATCCATTGGTTTACATTTTTAACCTCAATCAATTCATAACATTAAGCAAATATCTTCTGATGTCATTGGTTGATAAATGGCTCTTATTAGATACGGTTGGTCCGGATAGGCAACGCCAGTACCAAGAATTGAAGGTCCTATGTTCAATTACCGGAGGGATTGTGGATTGGCGCTGTTGAAGAATCTCTCAAAGAGGAAAAACAACTGTCAAATGCTTTCTGGTTATCGACTGGAGCGAACTTCAAAACAGAAATGACTTTTTAAAATAGAACGAATGACCAATTCATCGAATACTAAATAAAAGGAGTGGATATACAACGAAAGCTATGCTTTCAAGGTTACTTTCTTTAATGTAATTGAGGGTTATCGATAAGATTATGAGAGAACTTGGAGTTCTAAAATTTTGTAGAGAAACAGATAAAGTTAGACAAGCTAGATGATGAAAGAATTCAAATATATAATTTCGTAGAAATTCCATACAATTGGTTCCCATTACTTATGTGAACAAAGCCAAAACATTGGTCTGAATCCATCACATACATATATTCGCTTATCCGCTTCAAATTCGCTTGATGTGCTCATAGCTTTGTGGCCTGCGCTATCCGCCAATAAACTGTAGTGGCTGCTTCTTGTTCCCTTCTGATATCAAACACTATTGAGATTTATATTATAGCGGTTACCAAGGCGACTGATTAACAAAGCAAAGCCACTATGAACCAACAAAGACACATATATACACTAAAATTTACCTCAGATGTTAATATTAACTGATAAGTTATCATTATCATCATAATCGTCAATAGTAGTAGTAGCAGTGAATCTACTACTACAATAGGTTAAATATGTTGAACTGATTAATATGATATTAAACTTAATACGTTTTTACTAGTATTTAATGAATAACTTGTGTTATCAATGCGTTGATAACGACAATAATGACACTAAAATATTATGGTACAATTCGTTCAAAAGTGCGTGCAGATAATAAACAATAATAATGGTCAATGAAAACATTTTATACGTAATGATTATTATTATAAATTAAATAAACATTCATTTTTATTAAAGTTTTCAGTTCATAACTGACGAAATCCAGAAAGATGTAACTAACTTAAGAAGTAAATCAATAATACAAGTTGTAATCTTCAAAAAATTCAAATGGTTTTCAATCAACTAATTAGTGGGATAGAAAAGAACTTGAATTGATATTTCATCAAATCAAACTATTTCAAATTATCATCATAAATAAACAGACAAACACTTAGTTGTACAAAACACAGAAGTTAGTGCATATATGAATCAGTTCAAGTTGCCATACAACATAAGCACAACAAGATGAGACTATGAAGACAAATGACGTAGTAGTGGTAGATAGAAACAGTGAGTATCAATGTCCGTGGAAGTCGAAAACACTTAACAAAAAAATGTGATTCAAGCAGAAAGAGCGAATCCGTAAACTAAAAGACATGAAGTATTTCAAGACAAATAGTGAGTGCATCTGTGGCATTGCAACCGATTCTATACGATATTACCTAACATCTTGAAACACTGGTGATGAAAATTGCACGAAATTCCAATCAGGTAGTCTGGATCTACTTACAAAACTCAGTCCAAAAATCAATGAATTCATGGACTAATGTTAGATCTTATTTTGACAGTAAAAAATGCAAACAGAAAATAAGCGAAACTAGGACAATCAGATGAACTGATAGAAAGAAATGATAGTAAGGCTGTTACTCGTTTACCAAGTACAGATTTATGTACACGAGGGTAATGGCACTACCTGAGTGTTCAAACTGTAATAATTAGAGTGAGAGTTCGAACTTAGGACCTGCAGCCTGAAAGTGGAGTGCCAAAACCGCTAATATGAAAGAAAAATAAATGAGAAATAGGTTCATTCGGGTTTTTGATTGAGCATCAAAAAGAATTTTCGCAGTTTATCAAACATTTTATGTTTGGGTATTTAATAACTCCTAATGGGAACAACATATGTTTAATTTATGAACAATTACAATGGACAAACAGTCAGTTAGGTTTTCAGACACTAAGTCCTAAGTTCAAACCCCTCTCAACCTACTTTGGTTTGGGAAGTGGATAATATCACTAGCTCTTATATTTGTAGCCTAAACCCAAGTACTCGGTGAGTTAATTTATTTTTTATTGTTTATTGCACATACAGTGAGTAAAACTAAGTAATTATTTTCCGTCAAATCCAAACTAATCCTAACATACTTGATATTGAGAGATTTCAAAATTTATTTTGGCTCTATAAACTGCAGTATAATGGCTTTTTTTTAACTAAGGCCAAATTGTGTCGAAAATCACTGTCAATATCAATCTAACTCCTAAATGAGGCTAAAATATAAGTGTATCAATAGCCTACTCATAGAATAGAATAAAATAAGGAATATCAAGTCAGTGCCATCGGTTATGTAGTATTCTTTAAGCTTAGTGGTTTAATCAAGAAATTTTCATTGTCATTGATGTGGAAAACATTATCAACGCTTACATATCAAGCAGAAGTGGTAGTCAATCATTAATACAACCAAAAGGATAAACTGAATAAAATGGAGACATTAAAGTCTACTTCTGTTACACTGTTACTACAATTTGAGTCGTAAAATAATTTCAGAAAGGAAATAAGAAAATAATATAATAAATAAGAATGATTCAAATTCAACTTACTTATCGTAGTCTTGAGGAAAAAGATTAGCTGTTGCTAAACGATGTTCAAACATTTTACGACGCGGTTTAACACGATCTCGATACAAGATAAACAATTTCTAAATTACAGAAAATGAGAAATAGTAATAAATTAATGTTTTAATTTACTGGAAATTATTGTTTTTTTTTAAATCTCATCAACTTATGCTAAAAATAGTCTTGTAATGAGCCATTCTCAGTAACATTTCAAAGTACAAAGTGATAGTAACTCAAATTTCGCTTCTGAAGTATCTTATACTCAAATCCCTATATATATATATATATATATATATATATATATATATATCTTTTCAACTATTCAGACACGGATTAAGAGAATTTTAAACGCTATACAGTCGAAATGCAGAGGAGTTACATACAATATATCACTAAATTCATGTTTGCAGAAAATTGATTTTAAAATAACTAAAAGTTATTTATTGAGGCATCATTCCCTCATTGGACCACCTTCATTCTGTAAAATAATCAAATCTTCATGTTGTCTTTATCGCGTAATGAGTAAATATAGTTGACAAACCTAAAACACACACACAAATCACCTTAAATTTGTACATAATTTAGTTATTTACCAACTCTTGAATAAAATTGCTCAGGTATCTAAAGAGTGAATGATGCATCATTGTATCACGTTCCGTACTGAACTACCAAATAAAGTATGAACTAGTAAACGAATAGACTCGTAAAATTGTGCTAACTTGAGTAAACAAAACGCTTGTGCCCAAGACATTTTAACTGGTTAAGTTTCGGTAAAAAAACCTTGGACTTCTAACACAATCAGAAAGTTGAAATGCAAAACAAGTTTTACTTTAAAATCTAGGACACTTACACAAATAAAATGTTATGCTTTACAATTACCAATGTGATTGATACACAGTTTCGTTAAAAAAGGTTAACATAAGTGATAATTTAGATTTCTATTGATTAGGTTATGAAAGAACATAAATACAACGGTTTTTAAAATTTACTAAAAATTTATTCAGGGCACAAATTAGGTGAAAGTTCTTTGATGCATTTTTCTAGCTTTATTGAACATCTGAAGTATTTCTGGTTAATGTGAAGTGTTTTAATTATAAAGAGTGTAATGAAGTTAGTAATTTTATCAAATGTAATTAAAAACTAGTATTATTCTTTCAAACAAAAAAATTTAACTATGAATAGTGTTGAAATACGCACTACGTAGTTTATAAAAATAATACGTTTATAGTAAGTAGGTAGATAGGTTGTATGATATTCATAGTTGCGTGGTTTATTTACAAAAATAGATTTTAATGCAAGGGATTCAAAGGAACATTCATATGCCCGAAATAAACACTACTCAACTGAATAGAGGTGAATCAACAGGAAATTGGGCTATTACTCAGATAAATTTAAATTAAACAAAAGTACATTCCTGGATGACCTGAAAACCACATACGACTAAATAAATTGGACCAAAGTCTGAAATTTCAAAACAACAATGAGCGTAGGTATGGAAAAAACTAAATCATCCTACAAGTATACCAAAGAGTAGCTAATATTAATGAATTACGAGTTCAGTTATTTGTTGAGAAAAAATAACCTTGTTTACATTTTAAGATACACATATAACGTTGGTAGATGATCATGATTTGTTGTATTAGATCGTAATTTAAAGTTTCCCACAATAATTTCAGTTACTGTGACCAAATGATATTGTTAGTTTTTATGCCATCACCATAGCTTATAACAATAGGATACCACGTTAAATTAGTAAACTGAATTTTAAAAAAAAACTATTTTAATTCAGCTAAACTCGATCAGATTATGATTGAACTGAAAGCCATATATGTGAAGATCAAAATAACAGCATACTTCTATTTGTATCAATACTACACCTTATTAAGGAGTAGCAAATCATATGCCTGACTAGACTGTATAATATTAGTACAGAATAAGTAACACGTTAATTTGACTAAACAGCTCGCTAGACACTGGAAATTAGATTTGGTCGATTTAGAATTACTTTTGATCCCAGTCACCGACATTTAGGCAGTAAGCTGAGATTAATACATACTGAACGAGTTTATTGCCAATTGATACCAATTATGATTGTATAATAAAAATCCAAATTGTTCAAAGAACTATACGATAGTTTTGAAGGTTAACCACTAAAAAAGTGGTATTTATGGAATCAAACGTCTTTTCTGCGTATAGTTTAAAAGTTTGAAAATTGATTTCGGATATATACCAGTTGATTTTTCCCAAAACACAAAGTATTTTCCTAAAAAATGAATAACCTAGCTACCTAATGAGAGGATAAACATATAGAAAACCAAATAGATAGGTAAAATGAAGTAGCGAAGGAAAGAATAAGTGGGACAAATATAAGTATGATACAAAAATTGTTAAACGGTGAATAAAAATAAGAAAACAGCATCTGAAGCTAAAATCTTTGGTGAATTTAACTGGTGACTCTATAATACTGTAGAAATTAACCAAGAAGACTATAATTCTGCAGTTAAAGTATAAGTAATTAAATTCATCAATTAAACACTATAATTTTAGAACAAACATCCTTAGGTTTATCACATTTCTCTCCTCTTGACCAGTTCATAATCTTAAAAGTGGACGATGATTTTGACTATGGCATACCGGTTAAACGAGATTACGGACATAAATAAATAAAATTCGATTAGCATTAATGTACTGGAGAAATGCGGAAAAAGATACTTCAAAAGTTACCCATGTATAAAAATCCAATTATAATGATGATAATGTTAAATAATAACAATACACAAATCACCTCGACAGTTGATGCACGAATAACATTTTCAGTCAGAGCTTTATCTTCGTAGCAAATAGCCGCCTAAAACGGAAATAAGCGAATACAGAAAGCATTTATACGGACTAAAGGATACCTGATTTCAGCAAACCTACTAATGATATTCAATGTATCTCAGGTTCAATAGAAATATCTGTCTGCCAAAGTGAATAAACAGAGCAATCGTACTCTCTTATAAATAACAGTAGTTTGTTTATGTCTTATCAAAGGTATCCAAGCACTTCATGTGTATGGTGGAGCTACTGATATTAAACTTAGGGTTTTAGGTAAATCCGTAAACAAGGTACTGAACCTATAATTATCGAGGTAAATGAGACACGTTTAATGGTGCTCAGCCACAGCGTACGCCGATACTCTATACTGGGCTAGTATAAAAGTTGGAAGGAGGCTAGAAGTGATAAAACTAGGATTGTGAATTAAAAGTTTGTTAGCCTGATTCACGTGCGAAAATGTAGATTTCTAGTTTATGTCCACGCGGTAACCGTAATCAATTCTTGAAGACCTTGGGTGACGGCTCAAAACCACATGTAGTGACATAAGTATTCGTTCCTGATTTTTCGTGCTTGGCGTTATTTAATACTTATCATTTTTCAATATTATCAGTTCGATTTAAACTACAACTCGCATACTTACTCTTCCCCTTACCATCGATACGACTATCGCTATGACTGTGTTTTCCATTTTGTTGAAGTGAAGTGTGGTCATTGAACTGACAGATATTTATAACAGACCCTGGGTTATATATAACTAACTAGCAGAAAATCTTTAAGGACCATATGTATTTAGAAAGAAGATGTGGCAGAAACATGAATCTACTGAAAAATTTGGATCTTTACAAATCGCCATGGGGCTAGAATCATATATTCAACAGACATGTGTAGATAACTAACGGCAACCACGTGTACACTTGTGTATACAATGCTACAAGCTGAGTTAAATTCGTGGGGGTAACGATACATACTGTCAGGTTATCCAAGTCCAGACAAGAGAAATGTAGAACCACAACCCATCGGTTAGAAACCAAATCCTTGTGAGAGTGAACCATAGTTCCATACAGTTGGAAAATTCTATTATGCGACTAAAGTGTTGGCCTGGTTATTAATAAATGTCTAGCTGGTACTAGCACAAAATGAACAATTTTAAGCAATTATGGAGTCTGTATTGAGAAGTAGTATCAACGAATTATAAATATTATAATGAATTAATCTAATGAATCATCTACCTGCAAAAAATTTCCGATCACATGTTCAGCTATAGCAACGATATAAATGCATACATTAAAGTTAAAACGTCCACTGAATTCCTGTAGATAGATGAAATTGGAATAATCAGAATTATTGATTAAATAACTTTTATCACTATAATAATCAATAGCAGCAACTTCGATATTCAATATAAATTACTAAGACAAACACTATCATTACTCTGTCTATAACACTAGTTTTTGAGTTCAACTTTTATCCGGATAAACACGGGCGAAGAAATCTCGTTTTACAGATCGACAACTGGGAGATAAAACATATTAAAAGATTCCACCACATAGTGCGTTAACTCTGAATTATGCCAGTAACATTTTATATTACTAAAATGTTATGAATACAATTTTAAATAGCTATGACAAAATTTGGGGGGCTTCAAACGCCCTGGTACGACCGAGGGTGAGGAGAGTCCGCTCTCCCTCTCGAAATGCTCTCACATGGCCACGCGTATATAGCCTCTGCCAGGGAAGTCCTACTCACTGCCTTCTCGTGGCGGGGGGTTGTTTACGATATTGAGAGGACGAAAAGCGAACGTCCGGCGCTTTAACCGGGTTGGTGGACATGGTGAGTCCACCTAGGTGAGTTGGAAAACCCTGATTTTAAACCAATGGTGCACATGGGCTCCAGTACCCTGAGTGAACAAATGGCGTATGAACTAATCGTTGGTCACTGGCTATCATGGGACTGCATCTCCTCACGTTGTTCCACTGCCTTGTGGATCAGACCTTCAGGTCGAAAGCTCCGGGTGTGGTCCCCTAAGAAAACCACCTGCTCCGGTTTGGGCACCCGGGCAGTATCACAACCCTCACACAAATTAAATGAGATTTGTGTGTCGCATATGTATCTGGTGCCCCCTTGTACCAGTATTTGTGTCCAAACAATAATAATAATAATATGACAGAATAATTTATCACTTAGTGTTATTACGATTTGATATGTTAAAACAAAAACTTAAGGTTTTTAGATTTGGTGTTTTGGGTCATTTACTACAGAAATAATAGTGACCATTAAGAGCAAGAAATAAACCAAATTCAGGATTTGGTAAATTTGGTTTTGCTTACTCGTCTGTAAATCATATTGTTTGAGTTAGGACTAGAGGCATGATGAGGTTTCCGAAGCCAAACAAGGTAAGGAGGGGTCCCAGTCTGAGGCTCCCTGGTTTTAAGTCGACTGCTTTTTAACTACTATGCCAACGCTTCAAAATAGAGAACCATTCGTCCCTTAGTATCATCTCTGGGTTGGCCTACAGCTAAAAAGCTCCGAGGTTACCACTTTCCTCTCTAAAGTCATACACAACTGTCGGACCATAACGATAGTTATCAATTAAGTAACTCAATTATCAGGTTAATTCTATATGACTAAAAATAAACAGGAAACGAAAACATGGAATACTTAAAAGGAAAAGTTATTTACAGCACACTTTAGATAATAGTTGGGACCGTTACTATTATTTTTATTGTCGCAATTATTATTATTACTAACGCTATTATTACTATTATTATTATTGTTCGTAATGATGGCAATGACAAATAAAACAGCGAGTAACAGATAAATATCCGAAAGCCAAAGTTTGGTAGTTATTTAATTATATTAAAATAGTTTGATATCATCCCTCCTCTTGATTTCACTTCTCTAGGGTCTAAACAATCACGTGATTCCAGTAATAAGACGTTTGAATATGAAATGTATGTACATATAAAAATACAAATCACGTGAATTATTAACATATGTCAATACATGCGCATAAACAATAGGAAACAAAACAAGTAACCAAACAGATAAGCTACTTATAGATAGCTGTAAGATCAATTCGAAAATATCTATGGTAAATGCTTATAGAATCTCTTTGCCCAGTTAATCAATCATAACGAAAACCACAAGAACTAGTTGGTATGCTTTTAAAACTCAGTAAGTTGTATCAAAGACACGATATATGAATCGTTAATGAAAGCGAAGTATACTCTGAATCCACAAGCCTTATGCTGCTAAACTATGATAGAAAAACAGGCATCAGAAGCTGGAGGTGCAATTTACAGGTATACGAAAGTAAATGTGTGCAGGTATATAAACATGCAAATGTTGTAGAGTCACTACGTGAGCATTACTGAAACTAGGTAGTTAGTCGGGTATTGAGATTGTGAACCTAAGTTGAAACAAATACTAAGTTACACCTATACTGTTACTTGGTGTATGAGTGGACAATACAAAAGGTTAGTTGTTGATAATTGGCCAATCCTTTCAATAGTGTAACTTCGTAAACGGTGGTGACTCAAACCTGTATACTCTTGTCTTACACTACATATGCTTTTCATCTGTTCGAGAAATGCATGAAAAAATTAAACCAAACAAATTACAGCCCAAAAGTTAATAAACAGAGTTGTTGTTTAGTTTATCTTTGATTCATATTTTCTTTTATATTGTATTACTTAAGATGAATACAATCAAATCAGTTACAGCTGGAATCCAAGAGTATATATATATATATATATATATATATATATATATATATATATATATATATATATATATATATATAATATAACTGTAGAATGAAATTAATAGGATTAAATAAAAAGAAATATATGCACACATACTTTTAGGGCAGTAAATATTTTATCAAATGGTAAGTTCAACATTTTTTTGCGTCCTTTTTCAGCTAAATTGCGGTAACTTTCCATATTACTATCGGATGGCATTAACTTATCCGGAATGCCTGGCAAACCATCCACTAAACGAGTATCTACTTCGCTTATAGATTGAGGAGGATCGGGTAAGACAATAGTGGCCAACAACTGAATTAAGTGCTGACCTAAACTCTCGCGTGCTCCAGCATCCAGTCTTCGAACAACTGAAGATGTGATATTTTCAAAACCGGTACCGCCTGAAATGCTTGACGATGCTGTATCAGCGGTGTCATCGCCGAATGACGGATTTGGATTGTTCAAAACATTTGAACCTGGGGGAAAAAACCACAAAATATATATATATATATATAAAGTGTAAACAGTAATCGGAAACATTAGGGCTTGAAGATGTTATTCAAGGAGTATAATCCAGTGAAATAAATTTGGAAAGAGAAAAAAAGAATACAAAGAATTCAGAAGATTAGAATTTGGGAGAACATAAAGAGTGGATGCACTTGCGCCATTACAAACGATTTTGAGCCATGTCATTCAGGGTCTCTAACCATCGGTTGCTATCATCTCGCGGTCCCCAACTAGGTAGTCTACACCTACCAACATAACTCAGTCCACTTGTCAGTGACTTCATGAATTTGTGCCATGATTTGGTTTGGCCGCCCCTAGCTTTCTTCCAATCTACTCCTATACCACTGAACATCGCATGTCGAGGCAGTCGGTGGTTGTGCATACGTAACATGTGTCCCAGCCATCTCAAATGGTAAAGTTTCACTACTTCATCAATCGATTTGCCATCCTTACCTAGTACCCGTTTCCTAACAACTGCATTACTTACTCGATGGTCCCAGGATATATGAGCAATATTTCGAAGACACATATGATCAAATATTAGTAACCTACGAATATCCTCTACTCTTACCGGTCATGTTTCACTGCCATAAAGTAGGACGGAACGAACTGTTGCGCAGTAAACACGTCCTCAGATTGATAGACGGATATCTCGCCTACGACATAAATGACGCAAGTTGGTAAAAGCTAGTCGAGCCTTCTGTATCCGTGCTGAGATTTCGTCACACACCAAACCACAAGGGCTGATGAGACTTCCAAGATAAGTGAAGCGGTCGACACGCTCAATTACTTCACTCCCTATCATTAGTTCAGGTGCCGATGCAACCCAATCCTGAAGCAACATTTTGCATTTCGAGGGAGAGAATCGCATCCCGAACATGCTTGCATTGTTGCTTAGAGTGGTCAGAAGACTCTGCATTTTGTCAGCGTCTTCACCAAATAAAACTATGTCATCAACATATTCTAAGTCAACAAGTGAACCTCCCGGTAGAAGTTGGACTGAAAATTTAGATATGGAGTGTTATTTCTGATAGCACATCAACGACGAAGTTAAACAAGAATGGAGAATAGAGGTTAGCGTACCAGGTTAGTAGGAATACGTTTTACGTGAAACTCAGTGACGCTATCCAGCTGTGTTAGGTTTAAATCTGTGCCTCAACTGCTACAAGTCGAGTGGCTAAACCACTGGAAAGTAAACCAAAAACAGAAACCCAGCTTTTTATACTTGTCATCACGTTATCTACTAGAACAAGACACCTACTTGTAAAAAGAAGCCAATGTAAGGTACAGTGTTGCGATAACTGGACGTACTATTGAGACGTTTACTGAAGTACAATACAAGTCAAATTATTCGAATACAGAGGTCCTTAAATAACATTTTGTGTGGAAAAACGTTCTGTTCAATACGGTCAGGATCAGATGATAAGAACAATAAGTAAACTGACAAGGTTTTTAACTTAAACCAGCTGAAATAACTAGGGAATGTAATCTATAATTATTAGGCAGTAGTAATTGTTCACATAAGAAAACTTACGATTAGCGACTTTAAGAATTAATGCCCCAGATTCATCACAGTAGTTAAAATCTGCCACTCCTTATAATCCTCCTCATCTTAACCTGTTTTATCTTCTATTTTAGGCTGTTGTTTTCACTTATTTACCATATAAATTTATATCTCAATCTTCTGGCATGTTGGTTGCGTGGTATAAAAACATTTTGGACGCAAAAAGCCTGCAACAGTTTGCGTTTCAATTTAAGTGACTGTAAGAGCTAATGAATTTCGTGTATGGTCCTATCCACGCAAAATAGGTATTAATTTAACTGCTTTACAAAATACAAGTTAATATTTTCGATTCTGAGATACATCTAGTGAGGATTATTGATACCAGTGGTGCCACGTGGACTATGACTAGAATATGGTATAATGATTGTAAACTGAGCGCTTTACCCGTTAAACCACCGCTCAAAATTTAGAGAAACGGTCTAACGATACAATAGCAAACTAAAAATATCTGTTTACGACCATTAGATCGATAAACATCCCGGTGTTAGAGCAGACATGACAGCTTTATGGTGGATTTCCATAATATGTTCAGATGTACATCGCAAACAAGTGAATAGTAACTTGAACATTCAGATGCTGATAATTCGTTATCTAGGACTAATGAAGACTACTAGTTCTGTATGAACATATCTGAAGGTCTGAACTCAAACAAATATTTTTAAAGGTATTTTTGTAGCGAGTAAACTATTAACACAGTAATAAAAAAGTAGTTATTAGTACAGACTACTTATAACACATTCTTGGCTTTTCACAAGTAGATCAGTCGAAACAACATAAAAAACTATTGTTTATATGATTCGATTGTTTTCTCATTTTAAAATTAACAAGAATGGCTAGTAATTAAGGCATTTTAATCTTGACAGTTACGAAAAAAGTAAGATCGACAAAACAACCTCTTAGTGATTATGTGAAACATTGAGCAGGAATTTAAAAGAACGTCACCTAAGAGTAAAACATGCTAGGAAATGCCGTAATAAACCACCAAATAACTCGGAAGAATAATTTATTCCAAGTTAGTTCTGCTATGTCATATACAACAGCTTAAGCACCCGCTGCTTTTGCTTTGTCTCAGAAGTTGAGTTTGCCTGTTGCAACATTGACCAATTTACATCAGTTGAAACAATTGTTCACTGTGACCTAACATATGTTTCAAATCTTTTAGATCGTACCCACTTTGAAAATGTTAAGTACCACAAGAATTGACATGGTTAAAAACTTAACACAGATAGACCGTCGTAATCCAGTTGCTTTATCCACTACATATATGTACATTATGTAGTCGGTCGACCAATAATGCAATCAATTTCAAGATAAATTGTATATAACTATGATAAAATTAGGACTAGCAAATAGACGAGAAACTTAATACAGGCATCATGAAAGTTAATTAGATTGTTCCAATGCCGTATTTGGCAAGACTCACTTTCAGAGCCACAGACATGCGAATTCTAAACTCCTTATGCAGCTGAACCTGATTTGAAAACTAATATCTAATGCTAGCACACAGCAGTGATTTTAGTTAATGTGACTTCAACGATTTCGAAAGGTGACAATGGTTACGAATTTATATTATGGGCGCCAAAAGTACATACCTATTCCCTTTTTCGAAAATTTGGAGTTCAAAACCTTCTCACAACCGCACTCAAGATATTCCTTGTAGCGATTAAGGCACTGAACTAATAACCCAGCCTCCAGTTGTACCGAATTCTGCGAAACTAGAGAAATGGTGGACGTGTGTCTAGTAATGACAGTCGTCATCTGAATCTTCAGGCTGATCTAGTTTGATTTCTGTGTTCTAACAGAAGTAAACCACAAAGCACCATAAGATGCATAGAACATGAAAACCAAACCATCCGCACTAAACATCAAGGTCAAACCCTCGGACGTCAGCCAAAATCAATATCATGCTGATGATATATAGCAAGCTACCATCACGTTTGCCTTCAAAAATGTGCTTAAACTGTAAAACTATCTAGCGTGGTAATTCGGTTACCTAGTTACGTTTATTTAATCAGGCTTGGTGTGTAATCGTGATTGATCAGTATAATGCGGATGAGTGATTTTCAGTTTCGGTTTGGAAGGGGCACGAGGCTAGGTGGTCTGTGTCCTCATGAATTCTCTGTCTTGGAAGACAAGAAAAATAAGGGCATGTCAGGTGCAAATTTATCACTAAGTAATATAAAATATGTAATCAAGTCACATCTAGTTCTTCGACATGACAATGGGAATAAGTTTAGTTCAGCCAGTCGAGCATCATACCGGAGCTTCGCTATTCCGAGAAGCAGCTTAGTTGTTGTTCTCTGAACCTATTTCAAAAGTTCACTGTCCTTTTTAAGTAGATGGTAGCCGCTTGTATACAGTACTCAAGTTTAGAACGTTCGAACACTGTATACAAAGTCAAAAACGTTTTAGCGTCGACATGACTAAAAGCCGTATGTATTGACTATAAGGTTCTAAAACCTTTGGCGGCTATTGCACAGCAGTTTGCAGTGGTCTTTAGGTCTTGGCTAACGATGACTTTCAAGTCATTATGTGTCTGGACGACAGGTAGCTCAGTGTTATTCATCGTGTATGCATCTGTACCTTGATGACCGATGCATCACAACACACTTGGAAGTATTTATCAGCAACTGCCTCTTCTTTGTATTGCCGAGGCAATAGCCATACATTTTGAAAAACCAGAATTATGTGTACAAAAGAGACTGGTACAACCTCTTCTTTTACCATGGTCTTAATGTATTAAAAAAAAAAATTTTTCTCTTTCTCATTACTCTTGTTCTTTTACAGCCACCTGCTTCACCTTCCATCTTCCCTTCAAATCTTGTACCCCCAACCGGTTTGTTTTTATTTCCACGATCATTCCGATTATATTTCATCTCTGTTTCAACATTTTATGTTATTTTATCATGCTGAGCCACCCTTACCCGATGAATATCTAAGCCATTACTTATCAAACTTTCCTTGTTTTAAAAATTTTTTCTAATACCTTTGTTTATTTAACCTTACTGTCACCATGTATAACATAAGTTTATTATCAGTATTATTATCACCCTGTAAAAATAAATATATATATTTGCGATTGTACAGCTTTGAAAATGAATTCGCCGAAAAGAGAACTCTTCGCTGAACTAATCTTTCTTTCTTATTTAATGTCATAATGGGTGTATTCCGTTTATTAAAAAATTCCAAGGACCCTTCGACAGTAAAGGAACTTAATGAGTTTCTGCGTTTTTCTGTCAAACTTGCGGAAGTGAATGCGAAGATTACCTTTCTTAAAGATTGCGTTAAAATGCACAAATATCCTAAATACTACTGGAAAATTCTTCGAAGAAACCATATTTATCCAAACTCGAAATCTCTTAAACGCCATGCACAAAATGTTATTGACTCTATTCGTCCACGCATTCCGTTATTGGAACTTAACATTTCACAAAGATCTCCTGTATTATATGAATTATCACCTAACGAACACAATCTTTTCACCGATTATGTTACCACAGTTATCAACAAACGCACAAAAAACTTAATATCAGACCTCACTAAAAGTTTAAAAACTACAGAAACACAGCACAACTTTCCTAACAACCCTGAGAGATATGTGTTTAATCATTCTTCAATATCGTTGACAAATGTACAATTAGAAGCCTTATCTTTGGGGATAAAATTCTGCGACAGAAATGAAAAAGTTAACAAAATCAACACACATGTTCAATTCGAAAACTTAATCAAACAAACAAATGGTCTTAATCCAATCTCTGATCAAGAATTCCAACGTTTCAAATCTACTCTTCTTGACAGCTGCAACCAATATATTAGCACAAAAGTAACAGGCAAAAGTCTACTAACAAAAGAACATAGAAATCAGATAAAACTACTTAGAAATAATAAAGACTTGATCGTAACACGTCCAGATAAAGGTGCTGGTTTAGTGCTGCTAGATCGCAAGGATTATGTTGAAAAAATGACAACGTTGTTATCAGATGACACCAAATTCTCAAAACCCATCAATGAGAAAAACAAGACTGAAATTATAGAAAAGCAACTAATTGATGTCCTTAAGAAAATGAAAAATGAGCAGTTAATCAACGAACAGATCTTTGAGCACATAAAACCAACAGCATCGATAATACCGCGATTATACGGTTTGCCAAAAATACACAAACCTGGCCTACCTCTTAGACCGATTCTCGATATGTCTGGATCCCCTTACCACCCTATAGCAAAGTGGTTGGCGAATCTCTTAGAACCCGTTAGAAAACTCATTTGTAAACATTCTGTACGTGATACTTTTGAATTTATCGAGCACATAAAAGAAGTCAATGTAAGTGGCAAAATTATGCTATCTCTGGATGTGGAATCATTATTCACTAATGTTCCACTCACAGAAACCATTAATTTTATATGTAAGTACATAAACAATACTGAGATAAACATTGGGATACCTGAGGTTTATTTGAAGGAATTATTACTACGTTGTACTTGCAATGTACAGTTCACATTCAACGACGTAATTCATAGACAGAAGGATGGTATAGCAATGGGATCCCCACTTGGTCCATTACTGGCAGATTGCTTCATGGCCTGTTTAGAAAACAACCAACTTAAAAGAATTATAGAAAACTTCCACTTATATAAAAGGTATATGGATGATATCTTTATCATTTGTGATAACAAATGTAACTTAAGTGATCTCCTAAATACATTTAATAATTGTCACCCATCAATAAAATTCACAATTGAAGTTGAAAGCAAACAAAATATTCACTTCCTTGATGTAGATATAACAAGGAAACAAGATGGTACTTTAAAAAGATCTATCTACAGGAAACCCATGTGGAATGGCCAACTATCAAATTTCCACAGTTGGGTTCCCATCAGCCGAAAAAGAAACTTAATAATAACTCTCACCACAAGAATACGAAGAATTTGTAGCCCCGAGGTCGTAGAGGAAGAATTGAGTTTTTTAAAAGAGATACTTATCAAAAACGGATATCCTTCTATATTCATTGAGAAGAACATGAAACCGAAAATGCCAAGACCACAAACAATTGCAGTAGAAAAGAAAATTTTATACATGAACATCGACTTCAAAGGTGATAGAGCCGCATATATCTTAAAGAGGAGAATTTCAGATTCTTTAAAAAGAACATTTTTCGCAGCAACATTGCGAATATTATTCTCCAGCCGATCACTGTTCACCAATAATCTGAAAGATAAATTATCGCATCTGACCAACTCAATGTGCATTTACCAATTTACCTGCTCTTGTGGAGCTAGGTATATAGGTCGTTCGATGCGTACTTTATCCAAAAGAATTCAAGAACATTGTCCGGCGTGGTTAAGAAGAGGAGGCAGCGGCTCAATAAGAAGTTCTATAATCGAACACCTTGTGAACACAGGTCACTCAATCAAGACAGACTCTGCGTTCAAGGTCATCTACAAGGTAAGTAGAAGCCTTCCTAAGACCATTAGACTGCATCTTCTTTGTATTGCCGAGGCAATAGCCATACATTTTGAAAAACCAGAATTATGTGTACAAAAGAGACTGGTACAACCTCTTCTTTTACCATGGTCTTAATGTAATAAAAAAAAAATTTTCTCTTTCTCATTACTCTTGTTCTTTTACAGCCACCTGCTTCACCTTCCATCTTCCCTTCAAATCTTGTACCCCCAACCGGTTTGTTTTTATTTCCACGATCATTCCGATTATATTTCATCTCTGTTTCAACATTTTATGTTATTTTATCATGCTGAGCCACCCTTACCCGATGAATATCTAAGCCATTACTTATCAAACTTTCCTTGTTTTAAAAATTTTTTCTAATACCTTTGTTTATTTAACCTTACTGTCACCATGTATAACATAAGTTTATTATCAGTATTATTATCACCCTGTAAAAATAAATATATATATTTGCGATTGTACAGCTTTGAAAATGAATTCGCCGAAAAGAGAACTCTTCGCTGAACTAATCTTTCTTTCTTATTTAATGTCATAATGGGTGTATTCTGTTTATTAAAAACTCACGTTTGGCGAAAGCTAACTTGTCCAGTGCGTTTTTTTAGAGCGTAGGCATATTTTTGCCGCTGGCTCGTAATGCGATGGGTCTCGAACTGAGACTCTAATGCAGCAAACCAAACTTCCGGTTCATGGGGGATAAAAGCTACAGGTCGAGAATGGATAACCCGTACGCCAGAGTCTATTATATTAACACCATTCTTATCGTTATCCGTCATTTCAGTTTGTTGCCAGAATATTAGACGTTGAAAAATATCAATATGAAAATGTGCAACAGACGTGAATAGATAACTAATAGAGTCACCGCGATTGGCTTCTTTGGAAGATTTGGCTTCGATTGAAAAGTGTTCGTATTTTTGGGTTCAGCAATTGTAGTGTGGCGTCGAGTCACGGTTGACTATGATCACCACTACAAGAATGTTGCGTACTAAATATCAGAAGGCGATTAGAGGTTTTAGCGAGATACATTTGTTGGCGATCTCTTGGTATCAAAACAACAACGAGATCGTGCCAAAGGAGTACAAGCGGAATTACTGAGCAAACGTGTGTGCAAGGTCACAATCAACGGAAGAATGAGTGTGTTTTGGTACGGTCAAACAAACAAATACGGTAAAACAATCCCTAGTACAAATAGTTATTATAGTAATTGTTTCTATTACACCAATCGCGTTCTCTTAATAAAAGTAAGTCACTACACTGCCTCGCCGGAAGGATCCGGTTTTCGTCGAGAAACTTAAAC